TCATGTTGTTCCTTATTCCATCTGTTAATTAAAACTGTGTTTATTATAGCAATGTCAGCCAGGAGGATTAGTGAATTTCATGACTTAATGGCTGCCTATCCATTAAAATTTTTAATCAAGATAAAGTAGTTCTTTGGCCTCTCAAAATTTCTACCAAAAGTAATATATGATTTCCATGTCACTCAATCCATTATGCAACCAGTGTTTTTTCTCAGACCACATGCAAATAAGGCAGAGTCAAAATTACAATATTCTTTTAGCATACAGACTATATCTTTCTATTTAAATAGAACCACACAAATGTTATCTTGATGGATCATACTATAGAAAGTTATAAAAATACCTTACACTCACTAGCGTGATGGCTGCTTCTACAGCATGTTTAAAGCATGTTCCCCTAATTGAAATGTGTAACACAGCCACATGGGAGCTCAATATATATGTTTACTAAACACTATGTATTAGCTATCACAGCTAAATTGGATGCCCAGTTTGGTAGAGTGGGTTCTGCAGTCCTTATTTAATTAGGACTCATTACCTGCCCTCTATTTTTTTCATGTAGACGACTAAACTGTCCAAAGAGTGGAAATATGCAGATGACGCTGGAAGAAGAAACAAAGGTTATCTGCTTGTAATCAAAGTAATTTGAGATGGACTCTGTATATTCACACTCCCTGCCTTCCTTCCCCTTTTCTGCAGAGCCCTAACTACTCTGTATGCATCTGATGAAGTGAGCTGTAGCTCACAAAAGCTTATGCTCAAATAAATTGGTTAGTCTCTAAGGTGCCACAAGTACTCCTTTTCTTTTTGCGAATACAGACTACCACGGCTGCTACTCTGAAACCTAACTACTCGTGGCTCTGCATTAGTGCAGAAGAAACCAGAGCAGCAACTGTTGCGATACTCCCATTTATAGACCCACCCTCACACGCAAATGTTGAGAAGAGGGGTGGGAAAGGGCATGTGAATGCTTTAATAGGCACTACTAGCAGAAGACTGCACCGTTCAGCAGCACAAGTCAGTGCATATCCCCAGAGTGTGAATATGTAGACTCCATCCTGAAGAATCTCAGTTAAAAATAAGTAACCTTCATTTTCATTCTTATGAAAAGATTTAAAGCACCAGCACTCAGTGCACGACCAGGTCAGCTTTATTCTTTGAATTAAATCACACTTCAGATTCAGGGTCTATTATAGTGCTCAAACAATAAAACATGACAGTTACAATGAATTTTCTTAATCTGACCCCAGCATGATTTAGGAACATTCAACCATTAAATGAACCACACAGGCAGAATATTTCTTATAGGACTAATGTTAGTTTCATTCTCTAACCCTGATAATGAATAGTAGCCAATACACCCTAGGACTAAAACAACAAAAGAGAGAGAGTCTATTTTTTCCTGCCCTCTGCCCCCCCCCTCCAAACATCTACATGAATATCTACAACCTGCTTGCCTCTGACACATTGGACTTGAGAATATGATTACGTGCCACAGATTTTGCTCTGTGAGCAAAATGTGCCTCAGGTGTGATAAAGCCAGGAAGCAGCCACTGTTAAACAATAAAAATAGCAGGGCTTTTCAGGTGCATATCCCTGCCAAAGCTCATGGTGCTCTTTGCAGCGCTAGCTCCCTTTCAGAGACTTCTGACCGCCCCTAAGAGGCGACAAGCACCCAGTTATACAGGATGACACAACGGCAGCTTGGCTCCTGAGTGAACTATCTGTAGGCGGGAAGAAAGAGAGGAGAGACAGACATGCTGCATAGTCTTAGACTCAACAGGATTGGCATAGTGTGTTCCACTGAATCCATGGGCTCTTAAGCTTAAAGTGCACTCTCCTTTCAGGCCTCTCTGTCCACCCTACTAAGCTAACCTTGCAAATATTTCCTTCGTTTTCTTTTCCTTTGCCTATCTATTTCTAGTTTTCTCATCCAGCTGTTTCCCCCCCATTTCTTTCCCTTCTTCACAGAATGTCACCCTGGCCTGCACTTCACTTTCCTTCATCCTTCAAAGGAGGTCTCTAGCCACTTCACCCTCCCTTTTCTTCACTTTTAAAAAAACTCTCTCTCCTTTCCTTTCTTTTCTCCTTGCTCTGTTTTGCTCCCTCCCTTCCCTGGATTACCCTCCTACCCACTTTCCTAAGTTTCCTTTCTATGCCTCTTTCCTGTTGTGACCGTACATGCCTAGAGCTGGGTACTTGGGGCCTGATTCTCTGCCACTGGAATCAAGTAACTAGGTGACCATTAATTGTGAATTAAATCCCAGTCCTGAGGTTTTACTAAAGTTCAGACAGGGTCCCCATCTGCCCAGTTAAAGAAAAAATGTCATGCGGAAGGAGAAGCAGGTGGAGAAGAGATCCTGCTCAGCCGGCTCAAGAGGGATAGGAGGCAAGCCAACAGTTAAGAGTGTTGAGGAGGGAACAAACAGTTAATGGTGGCACAATATTGTAGCACAGGCATGCGATTTTGGTATTCTTCTGGAGTGTGTTATCCTGAACAGCTGACTTCTCATACCGTACCTAGAGCTGACACTGGCTTTTAAGTTCTTTTTTCCAACAGGACCACTGCCTCATTCAGTGCATAAGATGGTCAGTGCTCATTTAATAAGCAGCTAGTCAGTATTTGATTTTATATTTTTATTATGCTTTATTTACTGCACAACATTCAGACTCTGACCATTATTAATCTCATGGGCTTTTCTATGACATTTATCACTATAATATACCCCTGTGAGATGCGGGCTTATTATCCTCATTTTACAGATTAGGAACTCAGGCACAGAGCGATGAAAGTAAAAAGCATACAGTTATTTTGAGTGACCAATTTTAGATGTCTAGGACTTGATTTTTCAGAGTACTTAGCAATATATAGTGCTTTACATGTCAAAGCACAGCTCCCATGGAATGTGTCTAACTATAAGTACCCAAAGCCAGGGAAAAAGAGCTAAAGGCATGACTGTGGTGGGAACAGGAGCCAGGAGGAGAAAAGGAAAACTTAGCAAATCAGCACTGGGCTCCTGCCCCTGAGAGTAGCAGTTTAAGGTGATTACCTCCATCTGGACATAGTCCTCAAAACTGCCTTTTCTTCCTCCCACTAGGAGGAGATATGGAGAGATTAGGGCTATGTACACAGTACAGTTTATGTCAGTATAAGTTATGTTGCTCAGGGATGTGAATAAGCCCCCCCAGGGAACGTAAATTACACCGACCTAAGCGCCAGCGTGGACAGCGCTATGGCGGTGGGGGAGCTTCTCCTACCAACATAGCTACCGCTGCTTGCGGGAGCTGCTATAATGAAGTCAAGAGGAGAGCACTCTCCTGTCAGCTTAGCGCGTTTGCACGAGCAGTGGTCCAGCTGAGCTGCTGTAAGCTCGGTAGTGTAGCCATGGCCGGTGCTGTTCAGAAATAGCCTACAGCTCAGATCTGCGCCTGCATCTGCCAGAAGTTGCCTGGAGAGGGCACCTGGTGATTATGGGTACAGGGTCCATGACAGAAGCCAGCATAGTTTTGTTAGTGACTGGTTCCCCTCCCCAGCTTCTTTTCTATGATGCTGTATATGAAGACAAGTCTACAATGCACTAAAGCTGACATCTCAGAGAGACAAGGTGGCCTAATGGTAAAGCACAGGAATGGGCTGTCAATTATTCTGGGTTCAATTCTGAACTCTGACAATGAGAATAATATAGTACCTGTCCCACAAGATAACATGGTTTAAGGTTTAATTAATTGGTATTTGTAAAGCACTTTGATTCCTTGATTGGATTTAATGACAAAGTATATTTTTGTAAGAAGGCAATCATAAGAACGGCCATACTGGGTCAGACCAAATATCCTGTCGTCTGACAGTGGCCAATGCCAGGTGCTTCAGGGAGAATGAACCAAACAGATAGTCACCCATTCCCAGCTTCTGGCAAACAGAGGCGAGGGACACCATCCTTACCCATCCTGGTTAATAGTCTTTGATGGACCTATCCTCCATGAATTTATCTAGTTCTTTTTTGAAACTTGTTATAGTCTTGGCCTTCATAACACCATCTGGCAAAGACTTCCACAGATTGACACTGCATTGTGTGAAGAAATACTTCCTTTTGTTTGTTTTAAACCTGCTGCCTATTAATTTCATTGGGTGAACCCCCCACTTCTTGTGTTATGAGGCGTAAATAACACTTCCATATTTACTTTCTCCACACCAGTCATGATTTTATAGACCTCAATCATATCCCTCTTTACTCGTCTCTTTTCCAAGCTGAAAAGTCCCACTATTATTCATCTCTCATAAACTGAAACTCAAAACCCGAACCTCCTATTATGCTAATAAAGTGCAACAAATGTGTTTGTATTAAAAAAGACTCTGAACAGACAATTGTAGAGATGAGGAATTTTATGTTTTTTTTTTTTTTTTTTGCTGACATACTATGAGGCAAAACAAAATTGACACCATACAAAATAACTTTATAAAATATCATTCACATCATATTTTGTTAAGATTTACAGCATTTTGCGCTTGTTACAAGTCTTATGGAGGTGAAAAACACTATACTAAGTCTTTAGTATTAGTTTATATATACACAGTAAGAAACCAAAACAGAAAATAACGGTTAGTTTTTCATGAGTTTATTGCAAAAGTAGTGCAAACTATTTTACCTAGCAAGCTACAAAACAAACTTGAGAAAGGACCCACCTAAACTTAAAACATGACAATAAATGCTCAATTTCACAGCGTTAGAAGCTTCCTTCAACAGTTTCTTTTCTCAACAAAGATAATTCCCATCTGTGCACATTTTATATTTTAATTTACTTGGAAAAAGAACTAGAAAACTCATTAATCTGAATAATCAGACAGCCTACAATTTCAAGTCAGGATACATTTTGCTTTGAGTCACATGGGTGCAATTCCCTCTGAGATTTGCATTTGTGTGACAGAGTACAATTTGGCCCAGCCTTATTAATTAGGTAATACTGTTTATTCATTGGCCTGTATTTAAAGACCAAAAGGGCAGGGTTTTTTCCCCACTTAACAAGCTGCCCATCTTCTCATTCATGTTTGAGAAAAGAGTCAAGAAAGCAGCACGAGCAAAAAAAAAAACCAAAAAATAAAAACATTAAAAAAAAGGATTAAGAACATATATTGTCTGTTTTAGAAATGTAGTATCTTTCCCCCGAAATCTACTATGTAAAGCCTACTTCCCCACACCCTCTGTTGTTGAATGCAGGGGAAACCTTACATCAACTACTGCATTAGAAACAAGAAAGGATACTACATCCTACAAAATGAATACAGACCAACTTTCTAAACTCTATTGGGGTCCCAAAAAGCAAAACAGGTAGCTAGTAATAATATACAAAACAAATAATAAAAAGCAAACAAAATACTACATGAAAAAAGTTAAAGGAACAAAATGCAGCATATTCAGGCTTTTTTTTTTCTTGAGGTACCTATATAAATCTTACCTTCTGCCCAAAGTACTACTGTTTTGTTAAAAAACTGAAGTCTTTATCATGAGCCAATTGCAGGGCATACATTATTACTGAGAAAGTGCAACAATGCTGATAATTTATATGCAGCATATTAAAGGATGATTACGCTTCATAAAATATAGCTTAAGTGTAGACCTGACGGAGCAATTTTATAAAAACATTTAACAGAGGCATTTTCCCATTGTTTGAGTCTCTCTGCAGCAAAAAGCCTTAGGAAACAGTTATGAAGTCCTGCCACTAAGGAATGTTGGTACTCTTACAACTTCCACATAGAACTTTTTTTTTTCCCCCCCAATATTAAAACTAAATACAATTTACAGTAAAGATTCCCACTCTGTATTGGTTACTGGTATTAAAGTTTAATTCTTCAAACTTCAAAAATGATCGTATCACAACTTAAAATTTCTCCAAAAAGGATTTTTCTCAAGTAAAAAAAGTTTACTAATAGAAAAAATGTGTACATAATTGTAAACTGTTAAGATACAAAACTGCGCGGAAAACTCACTTTGACATTTTATTCCCTTACCTATCATACACACACACACACACCCCCTTTCATTTTCTATATATATTCACACACAGATATACACACACAGAATCTTGTGCACAGTATGTACATACATATATAGATGGAGATGGATGCATAGAAGAGAGTTTGGGATGTATATATTTTGAAAAACATCAAGTTATTGGATTTTTATTTCTGTTCACATTACAAGAATTCTGCTGTGACACTGTACATTTTATGATTTGATACACTGAAAAATATATTTTCACTTTTTAAAAACTCTTTTCCATTTTTTTTTTAATTTGCTGTTAAAATTATTTAATTTGCTATTTTTAGTTAGGAGTCTGATGTTTGATTGTTATGCATTGGGACTCAACACAAAAAGGCACAAAGAATAAAATCCAAATATTTGTTGTTTCTAAACAATAAACCACAAAGATTTGGTTTGCAGAGTACTGCCTCTTAAGAGGTTTGTCATCACTTAATGTTTGGTCACTTTTTACCCAATCTCATCGACAATTTGAGTAAATAGCACCCAACTGTTTAAATGAGGTAGATCCAAATTGTAAAGAAAGCTGGGTCCCCAACACTTTTTTTTGCCTCTAATTAAAAATGTTGTAAGGATTAAATGTCAGTCATAAGAAGTAAAAATGATGGCATGCTCTGAAGAAACCACAGAACTTGAGAGCAGGTTTATAAACATAAATTTAAATATTGAATAATAATCCTCTTTCCGACATAAATAAATTTCAAATTGGGAAAAAAGATTATGGTCATATGAATCTTAGAAACAAAAAAGCCAAGATTTTAGGATACTTGCTTTCTGTATACTGCCATAGAAATGCACAATAACCCAGTTTCTGTAGCGCAACAGTGACAGCCAGTGCCTTGAAAGGTCAGTCACGGTATATATCAATCACTATAAGATTCCCTTTATTTCTCAGGTGAGAAACCTTTTTCTTTTTTACCATCTCCTTTACAGAACAACCTATCCTGTTAAATTAATGTTTTTGCATACTCGGACAATCAACGAATTTAACAACTTGTTAAGGCTTAAAGTGGCATCACCACATAGCATCATGCAAGCATTTAATTAAGTATTCAAGATACATACAGTGTATTTAAACTAAACAATATCTACATGAAGCCTCAATTTATATATGAATGTGTAGAATGAAGTTTACATCAGTGTTGTAAATGGAAATTATACAATGCATCTAATGTGTATAAATACGTTTTTACAAGAAGTGCCAATTTTAACAAAACAGCACCAGATGGTTTATATATATTGCAAGCACAAGACTTCTTCACACAGATGCAATACACAGGTATAAACTGGTTAATATACATTTAGTACCGCTTGAAACGAGGCCCTTAACTGCTCAACTTCTTAAAAAAATAGTAAACTTTAAATGGTCATAAAAACATTTTGATTCAAAATGTCAATTTTTTTTTATAATCAAGAAATAAAAAGGGAGCATGTACAATCAAACTTTTGAGTTCTTTTTTGGTTCTTTTTCAGTTATTTTACAAAAATAAGAAAAAACGGTTTAAAATTAAGGGTTAAAACCCTCAGTAGGTGTCAGTTAAATCTGAAGTGTACCAAAGGTAGGAAATATCTGGATTTAAACAATACATTCTCTTTTCCATACCACCTCCCTCATGATCAGTTAACCACTTTGTTGCACAGAAATTTGCAACTGGTCTCAGTTTGTGAACTTGACTTACTGTAAATTCTAAAGGCCAAATATTCTGCTTGTGTCAACTGATAAAACTCCACTGAAGTCAATAGAGCTGTGTCTATTTGCCCCAGCAGAAAATTTGTTCCTAAATCTCTTATATGGAGGCAGCCCCTTCTTTTAACCAAAAAACAAACCAACAAAAAAAAAGTATATTTGGATCAGAATAAGATAGCAATTTGTCCAATATGAATGGTAACATTTTTCAGAACAGAACACAGGAGAAAGTTGCCAGCTATAGTGCTTCATTATAACTAGTTTACATTTTAACAATAAAGGCCCTGATTTAGTAAAGGAAAAATATTTATTACAGATTCTTTTTAAAATGAGTTAAATATTTTCTTGCCTGTATAAGTGTACACTATCTTCCCTACAACAACTAGTTTAAAACATGGAATCAGTATCTAAAAAAGCAAAAATCAAACATACATAAACTATTTGAAGTTGCCCAAGTTCTATCACACAAAAAGAAATGCAGAAGTTGGGCTAATTTAACTGAATCTGATTTTAATAGAGGCATTCCTGGGGTTAAACATTCCTGACAAGACAATGTATGTTAGTTGGATCTATCAAAAGACTTAAGTTCGTCAGGTGGTTTAGCGACATGTTATTTTACTTTATTGCAAATAAAAACAAAATAATAAAATATACCAAAAGGGGAAAAAAAAAAAAAAGCCCAATCTTTCAATGTACATGAGTAGTCCTAAATAGTTTAATGATTGTTTGAATGTAAATATGGGGTCTCAAAAATAGGGCCAATGTTTGCTTAAAAAAAAACCCAACAAAGTATTAAGGGCTTGACCCTGTGACAACTGAAGTAAATGTGAATATTGTCAACTTCAGTGGGAGCTGGACACGTTAAGAATATCTTTATTGTGTGGTATATTCTCACACTAGGGGCTTCATCCTGCCATTTTTGCACACCCCAAAACTCCCACTAAGTAAATGGGAATTTTGGGTGCACAAGAAGTGTAGGAACAGACCCTTTGTAGTTAGACCTACTCACAAGTTATTAAGCTACTATAAGCCAGAATGAATGGAGAAGACGACATGGCAGCCTTAAAAAAAATAAAAATAAAATAAAATAAAAAAAGTCCCAGACCAATGATATTCAGACATGACCAGCATTAATGTGCAATTTTACACACAGCTGCAAGATTTAGGGACAGTGTGGGTGCCAGGCCAAAGTACTGTATAATATTTCAACTTTTAACTTTGGGAGAGGAAAAGTTGGTAGGCACAGAACGAACCAAGTCCAAGTAAACATTACATACACTTTTTGAGTGGCAGCATAGCCTAATGGAACAGATATGGGCCTGGGAACCAGGATCTCCTAAGTTCCTAATCTTACTCTGTGCCTCAAATCCTTCCTCTGTGTACCGAGCTGGGCTTTTGGGATGTTTAAGTAGTTAAAGCTTCAAAGCTCTCAGAAAAAATAAAGTGTGAGGTAAGTATATATTTAAAAAACAAACAAACGTAATGTCCTGATCGTCATGTTGATCAAGTGTGCAACTTATACTGATGACTTGGCCCCAAGTGTTTCAGCAGGGTTTAAGGAAAAGAAACAAGTTGGAGCCTAGTACAACAGAGTGCATGCAAGGAATGGGGAAAACTGTGGTAAGGAAAATCAAATGTTTTTAAACAAACAGACTTTCTTTTAAAATGTAAGCGTACAAAGAATGCCACTTTGTTTTAATATGTCTAATTTAATTAGGCAAAACAAAAATTTAAAATACCTTTTTTAAAAAAAATTAAATATAGCCATTCAATTTAAGGTCCATCAATACAATAAGCGGTCCAATTAAAGAGTAATCCCTCCTTTGAAGATATTAAGATGTATCCTGGGAACAGATATTAACAAAAGTCTGCATCTTGTGTCATGGATCCATTTTTTGGGGGAGGGGGGTGGTAGGATTCTTGTATCCTTATAAATCTTCAAGTCCAGTTCTCCCCAAATCCCTATACTTAAGCCAGTGCCCATGCCAATGACCTTGCAATAGCAGCCATCCCAAGCCAATCAGAATAGTCTTTGGCAGTCTGGGAGGAAGCCAGATGGATAAAATTCTGACATTCTTGTGGAGTTGCCTGCCAAGCCTCCCCTTCTTGTGAAATTCATAGGGTCGATAACTCAGTAATCTGTGCCAGCAGGAGCAGTTTGAATGTTGATTTTTGCTTCCAGACTGATTTATTGCCCACCTACCCCAAGAGCTGTGTTGCTTTTGGGTTGGCACCTTGTAGCTGGTCAATAGAAGCCACAAAGAGAACCTAAAGGGAGCAATGTTAATTCTCATTTGAATAAAGGCAGGATAAGCAGTGCTCTGGAGAACAATCTCCACAGCCAGTCTCCGCACCTATCGTCCTTGGTGAATGGGGCAGATAATGCAATAGAGGTTGCATACGCTCTCTCATACAGATCAGTCTGTAAAAGGCTCCCTCTTTCCACAGATTCCCAGGAGGATCTGGGCGCGGGTTTGGGAACGACAGCCAATTATCCAAAAGGTAACACATAATGCTATTGTTGTGTTATGCTTAATAAATCTACACGGTGGAACACTCAGAGGCACTTCTTCTAGAACCAGTATGGCATAGAGATGGCACAAAAATCCGTAACACCAGATGTAGTGAACTGTCTTCTAAAAAGTAGCTATTGTACATGGGGCCAAATCCTGTGCTCCACACCCACTGGGCATTTTGCCTGAGTAAGGGCAGAGTAAAAACTGAGCAGTCTCAAGGATTCTGCCCATGAATAGCTGCTACTTGGTAAGCCTTCTTTTTGGGATGTGAATCTATGAGCAGTCAGTCAGTCTATAATTTACTAGACCATTTTTAATTTGTAGACAAATTTGTTAATTATAGGAACATCAATGAGTCTAGCTCTCCCATTCATACACATAATTTACACTAGTGTCCATGGGTGCCATGCCCAAGCATTTCAGTGAGAAGAAACAGCAAAAAAAAAAAAAAAAAAAAAAAAAAAATTATTACTTCTCACTCACCAACCTCTGTGGCTTAAAGAACCAAATGATTTTTAAGCATTAAATTTAGAAAATTCCTATAATACCGAGCTAATGTACTGTGCATAAGTTGATAAAATTTCTGACAACAAAGTGGTTAAATACAAAATAAGGAAGCTTGTCTGGATTCATTGTAAACAAAATATGATGTATTAACAGAGTTTTCTACAGTTCAGTTTCAGATCATTCAAAGCACCTTTTGTGTATGTGCACTTATTTTAAGATCGGAGGTGTGGCCAAGGCCTTGCACGTTATTGAGAGAACATATTCACAATACAAACATATTCAAGACATTTTCTGTGTTTAAAATTTATATCCTTATCACTTGGAATATAGTATCTTCAAGGTTACAATCTCAAAATTACCTAAAAGGTATTTTAAAAAAATATTCTAATACATAATTTTTGTCTCAGCTTCAAAATATGTTTCAAGCACCTTCAAATGTCACCTTCAATTAAAACATGATATATTTTTCAGCAAATCATAGAGCTAACACATGAAAACAATTTTTGCTGGAAACAGCAGCGTGAAAACTACTACAAGAGCAGACTATTTTAAGGTGGTATCCCTATTAACAAAAGTAAACATGAATGAAAATGAACATGCCAGACTTGTGAAATCAGTTGCCTCACTATTTCCAAAACTTTGACAGACAGCATTCCATTAACACCATCCCAACCTGCCCTACATAAAAATAATAAGTGGCAAGCAGATATCAAGAATCACAGTATGGCACATAAGTTCTCAAGCCAGAAGAAAACAATTCAGCTCATTTGGGAATATTCTGGCTGTTTACAACAAACGACAGTTGCATTTCAAAAGCAAATATTAATCTGTGGAACAGTATAGGAGGTAGCTTTTAACTGCACCTGGTTGCGAACTAAAAAATGATAGGAAATCACCTTCTGTAGTGATTTGGCCAAGCCATTACATTTACTTTAACATTTCAGACAAAGAAACATGGGGGAAAAACAGCTGAAGAACTTTAAATGTTATATCATGGATTACACTTTACACCATTAAACACAAACTTTTGGATTAAAAATGACTCACTTTGAGACTTTCCAAGGTGCTATACACTACAGCCATTAAGCCTTAGAGCTGAGAGGAGGATTTACCAACGTACTGTGTATAAAACAGTAGCAGTGCTGTAGTTTTGGTCTCTCCAGCCTCTAAGAGGCAAACAATCAATTAATGCAAATCACTAGACTGGTGGCTTTCTAATGTGGGTGACCAAGAAGGCAACTTGGTAGCCCTGTTTCCTAAGTCACAGCTCTAAAAAATACTATGGGGAACAATTCTGCATCAGCAGAGGAATAGCCTAGATGCTACATTAGGCTTTTCCATCTCTAATTTCTATGATTCTATTAACACTGCCTCACAGACTAGTCCTTTAGAATCTGATGCCAGAATCAAGTGCTGGAAGGAGCTATGGTTATTAGCACAGATATTAGCGCTATTAATTATCTACCAGTGATATTAAAGAGAGGCATTTAAATGCTTTACAATCTGAATTTTGGTAACTTCAAAATGTTTTTACATTTTGTGCAGTGTGGTGCAGAAAATATGGGTTGAAGGGAGACGGTTAGGGAAGAATTGCTATGTAAATAAAGACGAAAAAACCTGACTCCATATTACAGAAACCAAATGAGAAACTGTACCCTTTATGGATGTATCTACCACATGCAAAATGAGAGTGTAATAAAATTAAAAAAAAATATACAGCTCATATCTTAATACTGTAAAGTGGGCAGTATCTCTAAAAATGCAAGTACAACAATGAATGGTATGTAGAACATTTCAATGTTTTGCTATTCATACTACTATTTACAGTATTTTCAACCAGCTACAGCAGATGCAAAAAAGTCTGTTACAGTAAAAGGGAAGTTTTCAAAAAATCAGTGCAATTATTTTCTGTTTAAATTGAAATTTTCCTTAGAAAAGATTGTAGGTATGCATTTAGAAGCAAGTTACTAAATAGAATATAAAAATCAAAAATATACTGTCCTGTGTTAGAAACTGAGAAAGTCACACTGGGTCCAACAACCACAGTGACGATTAAAGCAAAGGAGATGTTACTTTTGGAGAAATTTTCAAAATAGAAAAAACAATTAAGAAGACTATTTATAATCTGATTACAACTGGCTTTGAGTGTGAAAACCTGGAGAGAGAACTTATTTACATTCCTTTTCTCATGTGTAAGAAATCTCATACATTATAAAAAGTCTTATGGCTTATCTATGCCACCAGAAGTGTTCTCTGGATTTCATCAAATGCACCAACATTTCCATCTACATCCCCCAGTAAAGGTCCCAATTCTGCATTTATAATTTGTGCAGAACTGATGGACTTTAGTGTGAGCTTTGCATGAGTAAAAGCTGCAGGACTGGCTTATTCTAGTCTTAAAACGTCAGCATTCTTAGTCAGAAAGAAGGTAATCCATTAAACACGCACTGTAACCTACAGCATCTAACTGAAATTTTCAAGACAAAAAGGCAGATTCTAATGAAGGGCCTTTTCCTGCTCGCACGCTCATTGCGGTCAATGAGATGTTTGCTAATGACTTACTGTGAGAAGAATCGGGTCTCCAATAATGTGTGGTACACATTTAACTCGAGGAATTTACTGCTGCAATCCATAAGTGCAAAAGAAAATCTGAGTTATCCAGCAAAGTGCAATGCACTTGTGATTACAATTTGATCCTGAGTGCACATACAAACCAGACAAAATTTGGATAAAATTTTCAAAAAAACCGGAATGATGTCAGAGCTTAAGTTACATTTTCAAAAATGATGTAGGCACTTTGGAGCCTAACTGACTAGGTTCCTGATGTTTAAAGATATTTAGATGTTGTTGTGCTCAGCACACAATGCCTAAATACCTTTAAAAATATGGGTTTCAGTGCCATTTTCAAAAGTGATTTAAATCTTTTTGAAAATTTCACCTTTAATCTTAATAATAAAAAAGTGATTTACTAAAATATATAATTTTTTATCAAGTCTTGTTTGATAATTGTTTGTTAAAATTACTCACTTAAATCTACACAAAGGCCACAACATTTACTGAAATAAGTTAATCAAACGTAAAAACTAAACATATGTTAGACAAATTTTGGGTTAAATAATTGTGAAAGATATGCTTGAGAGTACAAGAAAGAGGGGAATGGGGTCAAGAACACCTACCACACACTTACACAATGGAAATTTCTTTCAGCATAATTACCTGTAAAATTTGCAAGCAGACTCTAGCAGATTATCACACAACACCTCCTTGTGACTTGGGCAATTGACAAAAGCCACCTGAAGGTTTTTCTCATGACAGTTCTAGAAATATGCAAGTCAATATGAAAAGATTTTGGAAAATAGATTACCAACTATTCCAATGACCTATGCAATAGTCAATAAAATATTTAATTACAGGCGTGAAAGTATTTTAGTCTGAATCAAGTCAAAACTATGCATACTAATGCGAACTGACAAATATGCACCTACACATGGGCTAGGGCAAAGCAGGAGGGGAAGGGAAGGTGCAAGGACTGCAAGGGCTACCTCAAACAGTTAACCCAAAGAGGGCAGAGGGGAGAACACAGAAGCATAACTCCATCCCTCACCAGCAACTGCTAACGGAGCACAACCTCTTAAAGGGTGATTCAACAGTTTTTCCAGGTGCTCCAGAAGGCTTTGTGACTCTGAGCAATCCCATTGGGTCAGTGTAACCCTCCATCAGCCCAAACACCAGAAGTACCTAAAAAGGCACAACAGAGCCCAATAGTAGTTTTGTATTTAACTTTTTTTAAAAATGGCTTCCATTGAATATTTTATCTTTGCTGGTTTTGTTTTGCACCTTTGAATAGCAGCATTTCTATTAGCCTCTGAAGTCTCTCTATATTTCAGTAGTGTTAATATTTAGTACAAATAAGGCAGGAAATTCAAAGTTATAGCGGACACTTAACTCATAATTGTTTAACCCTTCATCTTCCAGCACACACACACACCCCCACAATGTAAAGCCTCACATACCTATTTCTAACATGTCCATCACTTATCAGCCTTTTTCATAAGGATCATTTTTATATAAATATAATGCTAATAAAGGATCTGAGATTGACAGTTGTAGAGCCTGGATCCCGTTTTTCCACAAAATGGTACATTGTGAACGCACAATTGTTCCACATTGTTCAATCCTGACCTGGTTTTGCTAACAAGAAGGCCAATTTGCACCAATCATGAGACCAAGATACTGCAATTGGTGCAAATGTAGCTCAGAGCAGAACCACTGTAACAGAAGAGGGTCTGCTTCATGGTTCTCTAACAACTGGAGTTAGATATCTTTTTGCACAGGCCAATGAATTGCAGATAGTAAGTACTTTTGGTTAGTGCTGACCTGAGTTGAATTTGAACCAGTGACTTAATGGTTAAAACTATCAGCCTTACGTATGAATTCAATAGCATCTGTGGGCATGTGTCACAATCCTAAACTTCGTATACACGATATTTTGCAACCACTTTTCCTTAGTTCTTAGAGAGAATATTTTGTGGGTAAATTTATACACGTTTACCCGAGATATTGCTGTCCTTGCAGGCTGGAGTAAACTGAAAAGGATAAAGGTGTATTGTTTATTTGATTGGAGCTGTTTTGGTCTATGCATGTTGTTTATATTAATCTTTACAAAAAGCAGTTATTATGCACACAGAGTGCCTACTTTTCAAAGTGCATTGCCCATTAAAAAACTTTTCCTAAAAATATTTAAATCAATTAAATTATATGATGGACTAATTCACTGTATATTTCATTAGGAAAAAATCAAAGCCATTTTAAAAATTAGAGTACTCTAGCTAATATATATATCTACAAACTGTAAACTCCCCAGTCCCACCATACTGACAATCATTCCTCAGGGGTTTGCATCCTTCATTACGTTTGAGGGAACTACACACAATTCCCATTCGTGCTAACAGGACATAGGGGCAACAGACACTTTGGTGGAGTGTCTGCAGAGCCCCCACAGCAATCCTCTGCACCCATGCCTTTTGGATATCTTGGCTGCATGTTAGGGGTCTTTGGAGTGGGGGCTTCTGGATCTTTGCACAGAGCCAGTAGACCGGAACTCCCACATTGGAGAAGCACCTGGTATTCTAGCCCATAGACTAGAACAAAAGCCACAGGAGGAGGCACCATAGCCCTTTGATCTACCTTGAATTCAGGATGTGGGATTGAGGTGGATCCTTGCTGTATCTGGTTGCCCATATAAAGTAATTTACTCCAGGTTTGTGCAGCAGAGAAAGAGGAGAAGAAGATGAATATCATCCTGAGCACCTAACCATAACAAATAGCAAGAACCACCAATGGAATTTTAAAAATGGCTGACTAATTATTTTAACTTCTTAAAGAATAACTCATACAATTGTCTGATAATGTGCCAAAATTAAAGCCAGCAATGAATTTCTACACTGCTCAAAATACTGCAGAGAAAAGTGCAACACACTCATCATAGAAAAGCTACTGCAAATCAGCTAAATTTGTTTTAGTGGTGGCTTTTATAACCTGCTTAGTAATTACAAAGGGCTGAATTCTATTTTCAGTTACCAGTGTAATCAGGAGTAACTGTATTTACACAACTATAACTGACAACAGATTCTGGCCCACTGATTTCAACAGCAAGACAGGAATAATAAACTAGCATGACGTACATATGACTGACTCATCCATTAACAGAATTTACTTTGTTGCTTCAGCCAAACACCACAAGCAACAGCATGCTGTGCGACAAGGTGCAGACCTGAACTTGTACACAAAATTATGCACCTAAACCTTTAGGCAGCAAAGATGGGCATTTTCTGGCTTACTCAACAGCAAACAGTTCTAGTCTATACAAAATATGGCACTGACACTAATTCTGGATGAGGCTGTTTGCCCACCTTGATGGCTAGAGGTAAATATGCTTGTCGGGGGAAGGGAAAGAGAGAACGCGCGCTGAATGAAACAAAGGAAGAGAATGCAACTTTAAAAAAATCTCCATGCTTAATATGTACTTGATTTAGCATATGAGAACATTAAACAAAATCAAGTCAGCATAAACAACTTTTGTTTCCCCCCCCCCCATCCTCTTCTAAAATTGTTTATGGTGTCACAATTAGTGCAATGGTTTATACATGTATTATGATGTATATGAACCCAGTGTGCAAACTAACAGAAGCATATATGTCTAATAATTATCAGTTTCAATTAATGCTTCTCCTAAGAGAATGGCAAAAATCTCACTCATACTATTGACCTTATGTATAACAAAGAGTTTCATTTTCTTCCACAAGTAAACTTCAAAAGTTTCCTAAGAGTTATTTTTACTGCATAGATTCTATTAAATTTGGCTAGCTAAACTATAAAGAGTGAACCATTCTCCTCAATTTGAACTGCTGCTTCACCAATAATCAACAAATAAATAAAGTAGAATTGTTTTGTGCTTGAATGGATGGAGAATGTTGGTCTCACGGTGTCTCTCTCTGAATGCACAGGTGAAACCTGCCATGTTGTATGCATGCTGAAAAAGTCTTTCCAGAAATTACAAGCTATACAATACACACTGTATGCATCTCTGACCTCTGTCATATCCAACTCAATTGCATATTCCTGCATTTGAATAATAATGTCTCCATGATACGGTTTTAATGTCTAAAATCCAAAGCTTTCTTGATATGTTAACAGAAATATGATGAGCACTCTTTAGTAAATAAAATAAATAATAGCAACTAGTCTATCACATTAATACTGTGAAACATATAAAATTTACAAAAATTCAAACATAACAGTGAAGGATTGTACTGTATTTATCACCACAGACCCGTATTCTTTTAGAAACTTTGGAAAGTAAGTGTCAGAGTCCTATAGGACAAATTCTATGATTAGCTGTCAGTATGATTTTAAAAAAAGTTTAAAAAAATTTAAATGGCACATTTTCTTTTTGCCAATCTCACTGGACTTATTAAAGGTTCAGATACAAGTTAATTTTTTTCTGAAATTATTTCATAAGTCTATGAAAAAAATCTTTAAATGCAGCACAATAAAAGACATTCAAGAACAAATTTCAGAAAATACATTTGCTCTTAGACATACAGAATGATCCTGTAAGACAGTGGAGGACCAGAATTATTATCTTTTTGCACTTTGAAAATAAAACTTTTGTAAATGCATACAGAATGATCAAGGCTTCATAAATACTGAAGTAGTGCTTTTCCTTTTCTTTCTTTGTTTTAAAAGCAAGCTCACAGCATCTGAGCCCATCAAATTTGACGTGAATAAGGTATTTCCAAATTATTAACACACAAATAAATTGAATAGCAAACTACATGAAAAAGTTTTGTTTTGTTTTTAGCCCTGAGATCACAGCTTTTGATTTAACTACAAAATATGGGTTTGTTTTCTGACAAGCAGCTTAGAGATTTTGGCAAACCACATTTCCAACAACTGTGGGGTTTTGTACGGGTCTGCAGTTCATAATCAAGTCTGAAATTCCGGACGGAAGGCTTTCTTGCAAATGGAAAAACTAATAAAATAAAGATGCATCACTCATTGCTGGCTGTCACTGTAGCGTGGGCAACTGTTGGTCTAAGTGCAGCTGGTCTCACGTGAATCCAACTCTACTAAATCGCTAAACATTAAAACATGTCAAGCAAAGTACATGGTACGTAACGTGTCCTGATGAACTTGAACTGCTTTAGCAAGTGCTTGATGATCTCTGCCATTACTTTGACCAGAAGTGTGGCTTCCTTCAGCACTAAGACATGGAAAAGAAAAGAGAAGTCCTATTTAATCTACCTCTCCTAAAATACATTTTATTTTCAAATAAAGCAACTCTTCTGAACATCGCCTCGTCCTCTAAGCACCACAGATGGATCATTTGAGGAGCAAAATTGACTAGCAACTTGAAAAGGGGAATACAGTTTTGCTTTCCCTGATGGAGGTAAGGTGCTGCTGTTCAGAGCCACTGAGTAAGAGGACCAATGTAAGGACCACTTTTGCAGCATTCCAGAGTTTAGGGTCAAAGAGAATCCACCACCAAAGGGGTACAAGATTCCTTCATTCCAGAAGTTAACAACCCTTAAAGCATATTTTAATTTTTGAAAGTACATACAGGTAACACTAAAAAAGGGGAAAAAAAAGGAAAAAAGAAGCAGCATCTTCCTTCTATCTCACAGAGTTTTATTATAAACCTTATTCTTCTTCTTCAGATGCTGTTATTCAGCAGAAACCAAATTTACCCATGAACTGCTCAGAGAGAATGCCACAGAACCCAGATTTAAAAAGCCGCATACCTTCTTCCTGTTAAATTTTGTAGCACCTCATAACACTGTAACTCACCTATCATGTTCTTTATCCACCAGATGATACCTGGCTCTGAAGGCAACCAGGTGTGCATAGTATGCTGGTGCGGGGATTGAGACGGAACGAGTACAGCGTACATATGTATGACACAGCTGGTAGGTAAGAATTTGCAGTTCATCTGACGAGAAACGATTGTCATCCCAGAGGACATGGTAATGAGAAGGTCTGCTTGTTCCCTAAGGGCAGATCACAGAAGTCATTAAAAAGGCTTTTCAGAAGTTCTCAGTTTCCACATCTAGTAGAAAAAGAAAATGAAAACACTATATTTTAAGTATGTTACCTCTACTAAACCACATGCTATCAATCAAACTTGATTCTCTTACCCAACATCGTCCTGCTGGATGGACAGAGGACTATGCCCCACAGTCCAAGTTCTGGGGGGCAGGTTCAAAATATAAATTAAGGACACTTAGGGGACTAAGCTATCCCTCCTGACATGTTTCATTTAGGTGTTATTCCCTTTAATGGAACATAAATCTGATGTATTTGCGTATGCATGCCCACCTGATAATGATAACAGTAATATGAAGTGTGAACTCTGTTCTGTCACACGCTGAACACATGCATTTTTTGACAGGTGTAGAGAATGTGTGAAAGGTTGGCATGTGGCTGTTTGCATCTCCAACATTCACTGTGTGTTGCCACTCTCCCTTAAACGAAGGTTCTGGAGCACAGTAGTACCTATTTAATATCTTGCATTGGAAGAATCGCAAGGATAAAGAACTTGAAGGATCTTTCACATTAAGCCAGATATCCCTCCAGGTTTCTCTTGTGATAGGAAGGCTAAATTCTTTTCCCCATTTTCTTTGAGAATGACATTGAGAGGGTAATGCAAAGCATTAAGCCACCTATAAATAATTCCTACCAAGTGACTTTTGTTTCCATATTTCTTAATACGTTGTTCTAGAGGTGAGAGAGTTGAAAAAGACCAATTGTCGCCTATCCTGCATGAAACCTTGAGCATAGCTGCTGAAAGAAAGAACTGTGAGACAGTGGTAGCCGATATTTGTTACACACGTAATTAAAAGAAGCCAGTCTATTATTCTGTATTATATCATTAATTTTTGTTAATCCTTTTTCTATGCAAATTGTCTTAAGCATGGAGTTAACCTGTGCCTCAGGATCAAGGCAATCTCACTGTGGCATGAGAAGACAATTAGTAAAATTGCATACTGTAATCATCTTAACGTTTTGGAGGATGCCCCATGCAGATACAAAGACTGGATTTTTCTTAAGTGCATGGGTAGCTCTTAAGGTATTTAAAAGGAAAGAGGGAACCAAATGGCATAGCTAAGCTTTTTTCAATTTCAAACCAGGCCGGTGTATATACAGAACTACTGGACAGGAACCACCTTACAATAGGATGCATTTGGAATGCTAGATAATAGAGATACAAATCTGGCAACCCCCTACCTCCCATTGCCCAGGATTTTTAAAGTATCTTGTGTGACAAGCAAGGCTGTTTTTATCCCACATAAATTGCATGATAAGCCTATCTATTCAAGCAAGGAGCAACAGAGAGATCTTGAAAGGCAACAGGCTAATGATACAAGTCATTCTTCGGCAGATATTCATTCAGTCACCCACTACCTTGACTTAACTCCACTTCTGTGAGAGCTGTTGTACTTGGGCAACAGGGTTCCAGCTGTCAGTGCCCCACAATGCCTCACACAGTGGGGTCAGTGGAAGTGCTCCTGGTGAGGATGTGAACTACCGACAGAGTCTAGTGTGGAGATGAAACACCACTGTGATGGCTGGACGTCGACTTAAGTAAACCTAATTTTGTAATGTAGACATGCCCCTAGTTTGTATGTGCACGCGCGTGTGTGTAAGTAAGAGGATCTACAAAACTGTGGTTTGATAAAAAAAAAAATCACTCTGTCTGCTACATCTTGCAAGTGAATTCAACGCAAGAGAAATTTTTTCCCTTAAAATGTTTATTTGTACAGGTGTAAAAGTGAGATGCTTTTCAGACAAATAAGAGAACAAGGTACCTGCCCCCCAAAATTAACAATCTAAACAGATAACAAAACGTATGAAGCACAATAAGTGCATGACCTTTGAAATATAATATATGCCTTACTGGTCCCATTGAATTTAGGGGTGGGCGTGGTTTGTTTTTTTGAGCTAATTTATTAAGATTCTTCAGAGAAATGGAAAGGCATAATAGATAGCACCGACAGTGAAAGGACATGATTAACACAATAAAAGCATACCTGAATACCAGCATGACTACAAAGGTAAAAGTCAAACTCTGATGGATGGGTGATTTTTGTGTCCACTGTAGTACCTGCTGGAATGTTTCCACTTTTTCCAACCTATGTAAACAAAATAAATCATAAAATACCATAAGGTATATGACAGTTTACTTAATTTTTTCCCTTCCGTTGGACAATAAAAAGTATATTCAAGGAAACAAACACCAGAACTATAATATATACAAGAATCCCAAAATATAAGTTTAAAAAAAAAAAAAAAAAACACAAACCCAAAAACCCCCAAAACCCCAAACACTAGGGACTAGAAAAAGTGAATTTATTCAACCAGGAATCCTGAAGTGGGGCTGCAGCAATTCAGATACACCAGTAAAAAACAGGAGTTACTCATTCCTTTCTTTGATCAGTCAAACTTCAATACTAATTGATAAAATTTAGAGAAAATTTCCTGCCACTGGCTGATCACCTCCCATTCTCATTTTAACATTCCAAGAGGGATTATTCCACTGTTGCCTCTCTTGATGGAGCCTGAAGAAGAGAGAAAAGGAGTACTTGTGGCACCTTAGAGACTAACAAATTTATTTGAGCATAAGCTTTTGTGAGCTAAGTGAGCTGTAGCTCACAAAAGCTTATGCTCAAATAAATCTGTTAGTCTCTAAGGTGCCACAAGTCCTCCTTTTCTTTTTGCAGATACAGACTAACACGGCTGCTACTCTGAAACTTGAAGGAGAGAGGAAGATTGGAGGCAGGCCCCTTCCCTAAACTCAAGGTGTAATATTCAGATTCGTATGCAAACAACCCTTAATTTTTTGTCAATTCCTTAACTGGGATTGTGTCATCTATAAAGAAGTACACATACATATTAGTTCTAGGAGTCATTAATCTGAACCCACTACAGACTTCAAAGCAATGTAGTTCCAATAATACATAAAAAGAGGCTGATATTAAGACATAGAGAGGACTGATTTGGAGGCCTGAGTATGGGTTTAGGAGCCAGGAAGTCCTAATTTCTAATACTGACTCCCTCTGTGACCTTGGGGAAATTTTGTTCTAATTTCTTCACTCTGAAAAGGACAACACAAGTTCTTACACAGAAATGAACTTTTATACGTATCTAATAGGGGTATAGACAGGGTTAGATAAGATTTATAAAATATTTTGAAGAGAAGAGATATTAACATGAACGCTGTGACGCTTTGAGTACGTGTAAATGAAATTCCAGGTCTGTCATGTATAGACTTAAAAGAGGTGTCATTTCTCTGATGACAGTGGACTACAAAGGGAAATTTAGCTTATTACATGCAGACAACTACTTTGCTCTAGAAGCTCTATTTCGGCCTCCAAGCAATTTAAAGAAAAACACTAAGAAGTGATGAAAATAGCCATATTTAGGTTTTAAGCTAACACAAAGCTTGAAGGTAAGCTGCAAAGGTATTTTGAGCGTAGGGACTTTGGCTACATCTATACTACCACTTATGTTGGTATAACTTATGTCGCTCATGGGCGTGAAAAAACACCCCCCCCAGCTACATAAATTACACTGACAGCGCTATTTTGGCAGCAAAGCTTCTCCCGTTGATGTAGCTACGGATGCTCGTTGGAGGTGGATTAGTTATGTCGATGGGAGAGGTATTTCCTGTTGGCATTGAGGGGCTACACTAGAGATTTTACAGTGGCGCAGCTGCATGGGTACAGCTGCACTGCTATAAGCTCTCTAGTACAGACATAACCTTTACAAAGATGTGTAGACACATGGTTAATGGACACTTACCGCTGCAGTTTAATTTTTTTTCAAAAACCTCACACTTTTTTTTTTTTTAAATAAAAACAGAAATGAAGGTTTCCTTCTGAAGAAAAAGCCTGAGTGAGAGCCACTACCATCCCTCTGTGCCAAAACATGCACGTGAACAACAGGGAGATCAGGAGAGGGAAAAGAACCATAGCCAATGCCAGCACAACTAGAAACTAGGGCTATCGATTAATTGCAGTTAACTCAAAAATTTAACTGCGATTAAAAAAAATGAACTGTGATTAATTGCAGTGTTAAACAACGGAATACCAACTGAAATTTATTAACTACTTTTGGATGACAGGTTTCAGAGTAGCAGCCGTGCATTCATCCGATGAAGTGAGCTGTAGCTCACGAAAGCTTATGCTCAAATAAATTGGTTAGTCTCTAAGGTGCCACAAGTACTCCCTTTCTTTTTGGATGTTTTCCTACATTTTCAAATATATTGATTTCTATTACAACATAGAATACAAAGTGTACAGTGCTTACTTTATATTATTTTTGATTGCAAATATTTGCACTGTAAAAATGATAAACAAAAGAAATAATATTTTTCAATTCACTTCATAAAAGTATTGTGGTGCAATCTTTTTATTGTGAAAGTGTAACTTACAAATGTAGATTTTTTTTGTTACATAACTGCACTCAAAAACTAAACAATGTAAAACTTTAGCGTTTACAAGTCCACTCAGTCCTACTTCTTGTTCAGCCAATTGCTAAGACAAACAAGTTTGCTTACATTTATGGGAGATACTGCTAACTGCTTCTTATTTACAATATCACCTGAAAGTGAGAACAGGTGTTCGCATGGCACTTTTGTAGCTAGCGTTGCACGGTATTTACGTGCCAGCTATGCAAAACATTCGTATGCCCCTTCATACTTCAGGACATGCTTCCATGCTGATGATGCTTGTTAAAAAAAATGCGTTAATTAAATTTGTGACTGAACTCCTTGGGGGAGAATTGTATGGCTCCTGTTCTGTTTTACCCACATTCTGCCATGTATTTCATGTTTTAACAATCTCTGATGACGACCCAGAACATGTTCGTTTTAAGAACATTTTCACAGCAGATTTGACAAAACTCAAATAAGGTACCAATGTCAGATTTCTAAGGATAGATACAGCACTCGATCCAAGGTTTAAGAATCTGAAGTGCCTTCCAAAATCTCAGAAAGATGAGATGTGGAGAATGCTTTCAGATGTCTTAGAAGAGCAACACCGATGCGGAAACTACAGAACCTGAACCACCAAAAAAGAAAATCAACCTTCTGCTGGTGGGATCTGACTCAGATGATGAAAATGAACATGCATCGGTCCGCTCTGCTTTTGATCATTATTGAGCAGAACCTGTCAGCAGCATGGACATATCTTCTGGAATGGTGGTTGAAACATGAAGAGACATATGACTCTGACATGTGCATCTGGCACGTAAATATCTTGCGATGCTGGCTACAACAGTGCCATGCAAATGCCTGTTCTCACTTTCAGGTGAGATTGTCAACAAGAAGCGGGCAGCATTAGCTCCTGCAAATTGTAACCAAACTAGTTTGTCTGAGCGATTGGCTGAAGTAGGACTGAGTGGACTTGTAGGTTCTAAAGTTTTACATTGTTTTATTTTTTGTACATAATTCTACATTTGTAAGTTCAACTTTCATGATAAAGAGATTGCATTACAGTACTTGTATTAGGTTGTAATAAAAATTAATATAAAATGAGCACTGTACTTTGTATTCTGCGTTTTAATTGAAATCAGTATATTTGAAAATGTAGAAAACACCCAAAAATATTCAAATAAATGGTATTCTATTATTTTTTAAATATGCAATTAATCTTTTTAATCGTGCAATTAATTGCTTGACAGCCCTACTAGAAACAGATAGTAAAAGACCAACACAAGCAAAGAAACAAAATATACAACTCAGTACGTTCCCAGCAACTGCAGTGTGATGGATAGGGCATGGAATTGGAACATGGGAAACCTGGGTTCTACTCTCTGATCTGCCACTGACGTGCTGTGAGATTGTGGACAACTTACTTCTCTTGTAACTGTTTCTCCTCCCACCCTTTGTCTTCACTATTTCGACTGTAAGGTTTATGGGGAGGGACTGTCTCTTTCTAGGTGTTTATATAGTGACTTGTACAACAGGGCATCAGTCTTGTTAGAGCCTCTAGGTACTACTGTAATATAAATAATAATAGGCATTTTTCTTTCCAATATGCCTGGTTCAACAACTTATAAAATTTTCAATGGGATGCATGTCTATCCTGGTGCTGAATTTGCTGGTTTAGGGAGAAATGGTATATTCTATTGAGATGTTATGTGGGCCAATCCTGGGGTGACTGGATATTGGCGCTCCACAGCACTTGTTATATTACATGAGCCCCACAGGCTTCTGACAATCTGAGGGAAGCTCAACCATGTCGATAGCGGACAGTGGTAAGGCAACAGCTGGGAATGACAGTGACTGGGTTAGTTCCATGCTAAGATTTTGTTTACCTGAGCACACCCTCAACATATCTCTCATCTCCTCTCTTCACAGAATAAATGAGGAGACTCAGCAAGCTGCTTAGGGTAAAACCACTGTTTTTTCCTCTGGCACAACAGAGGCTCAGATTCCCAGCTTTAGGGTATTGGAAGGGGGGGGGGGGGGGGTGTGTCTCTGTACCCTTTTCCTGAGAGCCCAAGAGAAGAGGTTGTGATCAAAAGGTGGCTCTAGCTAGGATGGTTTTCTACTTTTCTACCTTCTTTTATCCTCTAGTACCACTCCAGGAGGCAGGGAAGGAAGTTAAGGAAACTGCACTGGACAGCAGAAGCTCAGATTGCAGTTTAGGTAGGTGTATATACTAGTGACATTACTTTACCTTGCAAATGAAGGCTCCCAAGGAATTGAGCATAAAAGGCATGTCAGAAGTGTAAGTTTCAAGGGGCAGTCAAACAATTTAAAAAAAAATATCAGGAGGACAACAACACAGATGTTGCATTTGAAGGCTGTAATGAGAACTGTTTTTCTTTAAGTGACAAAGCCAAATAAAGGAAACACTGACCTCAGTCCAATTCAAGGGACAGATAAAACTTTAGCACAACAGCCTACAGACTGACATAGAAAGCTTTTCCCACCTTTACATATTTTTATGCAATTAATTGCTTGACAGCCCTACTAGAAACAGATCGTAGAAGACCAACACAAACAAAGAAACAAAATATACAACTCAGTACGTTCCCAGCAACTGCAATGTGATGGATAGGGCACGGAACTGGAACGTGGGAAACCTGGGTTCTATTACCTGATCTGCCATAGGGCCACTACCAATAGTGCTGTGCTACTGCCAAGCCCAGAAACGACAGCTTGGAACACAAAGTAGCTATTTCGTCTTCCCTCCATGCTGGTAAAACAGCCTCAAGAAAGAGTTGAAAAAGAAAAATTTTACTAAGGGACTGGCCTTTTCACTGTTAAAAATTCATTGTTTGAAGAATAAAAATCACCATCAGATCTCAATGGAGGAAAATGGAATAAGTAATGAGAAGTTCTTAAACACCAAAACCTATGTTTTAACACTTAAAACCTATGTTCCATGTTGGTGGCTCAGAACAGATTGTCTTTAAAAGGCTGCTGTTAGTACTTAAGAGCCCTTTTCAGTGCTCCTTATGCAGAAAGGATTCCCACCAATATCAAATGGGAGTTTTGCCTCAGAAAGGAGTGCTGAATTGAGCCCAGAATAGTAAATTAGGACCAGATCTTGAAAACCCTTTCTGATATGAACAATTCTGATTAATACTGGTAATCTCACTGCAATGAATTAGGACTATTTGTGTAATGGTTGCTCACTTGAGTAGGATTATGACCTTAATGCAGACCTCCCCCATTACAATGATCCCAAGTTTTACAAGAGGTAAGGTACATGTATAATCTAGGAATTTTGGAGGAGCTGCACAACTAGGAATAGTGAAATTAAAGAAAAAAAAACGGAGTTGAGTATTAGGGAATCTTGACAATGATCTACTAGGCTGTAGAACAGTCTCCTAAGGAAAGATCGAGTGGGACATTTGAAACTGAGCTGGAGAAAGCACCAGAAAAAAATGCATCGAAGGGAACAATTCTGCACTGATTGGGAAAGGAACTGACAGTTAACACAACTCTCTTCCATCTCTAATTCCATAATACTGAAATGTATTTATATATACACAGTTGGAATAATGATTTTTCAGTATGCCACAGAAAATGTCTTTGAAATGTATTTGACAGTCCTTTCAACTGTGTTCCAATCTAAGAAAAAACTCCTTGCATTCTAATTTGTGTGTGTCAGGAATACATTGAGATGGGAATATCCATTGATGTTGGGCAAAAATGAGTTTGCTGCTCTCCTCACCCCTAATATGCATCCCAAAGCAGATCAACTGTTAGACAAATGCAAATTTCTTCAAACACAAATATAATTTACTCATTAATCCATAGATATTTTCAAAATTACCAATACTCAAATAGAAGGCAGTTTTGATACAGTTGTGTGGGGTATTCAGGCAATATGCCAAAACTTGAGTGAATATTTAGAACATACCCGTTCATTTTTGTCTGTACAGAAGAGCCTGGTGTGATGCCTTTTCTGCACAACAATAAATGTAATTCCAGGCTGGTAGTCCTTTTCTAGTTTAATGCATGCTTCTCTGATAGCCAGCAGTTCATGGTGGAGAACCTAAGTCAGAAAAACACAACCGACAGAAAAATATGATAAATAGGGTGCATACAAAGTTAATAACATCCAGCAGATTATAAAAATAATTATACTGCTACTCATTAGCTATTTAGGGCTTGTGGAGAAAGACATGGAAGTTCATACAAAGTTGAGTATTAGAAAGAGGATTTGGCATATATACAAAGACTGGGGAAAGAATGGGGTAAAGTCTAAGAACTGATTCAAATGAAGACAACAAGCATGGAGCTTACCAAATTTTATGAACTTTTTAACGCAATAAAGTGTGAAATTATTTTAAAAATACTCAGTAAATATTTTTAAAAAATTAAAGCAGAAAAACTATGTATATATCTGAAAAAATATACTAAAATACTTCATTAAAACATGAGGCTTCTGAGAAAGAAAAATAAATACAAAAAGATGTTTGCCAATTTTGTGTGGGGCAAGTGGAAAGAGGTAATGTATCAAAGTAGGATTTAGAAAAATGGGAGAAAATCAGAAATCTTACATACTTTTTTTTATTTTTTAAAAATCATTGTTATTAGACTGTGCACTCAAACTTCAACGGTAAACCCTTGATTTGGTCCCAGATATCAAATACACACCCAATTTTCAAAACTGAATGACATTAAAACATTTTCTTTTGTTGTGAAAGAATGTGCAATCCTTTTGTAAAAGGAGAAGTAGTAAGATCCTGAAAGCTGTGATGATACTTTTCCTACACTGCTTGGCCACTGCCTGAGACCTTTACAGAGGGAAAACCAGGTTTACTTCTTTTCATAATTCTAATTTTGCATACTGCATGACTTTTGATTATACAACAACTCATAAGTGTGAAGAATCTAACCTGTTGAAATTGACCCTCAGAAACACCATCTCTGTAGAAAATAATGCGAGTTGGTTTAAATCTGGTTGATTTGTAGAACTGAATAAGCAGCTCCCTGACCATGGCAGCCAAGTCTTGGATGATTTCTTGACGATGCTGCTGGACACGCACAGTGGCGCAGTATCGATTAGGGTGAGCGTCCATGCTTCCTACAACCTGTTTAAAACAAACACACACACACACGACCCATGCTTAATACCAAGCCAATACAAAGGATCTTCTTTAAGGTTATTTTTTAAAAGAACACATTTAAAAACAAAGACTAATGATTCATTACCTCACTAAAAATGCTATAATCTATACAGTTCATAAAGAAAAGAGAAAATGCAGTCAAAATTATCGTGTGCATGGGAAAAGTTTTCAGTATTGAGCTCTGGGCTACCTGTGACTATATATAATACTAAAACTGAAGAATTAATATTTTATTTGTGAAACAAATCTATGAACTTGTGTTCTGAAAAACTGAAGGAATTTTTAAAGCACAATCTTAACATAGACTTTAACTAGAAAAATATGTTTTCACAACTGGTTCAAAACATAGGGGTGCCCTGGATTCCCAACTGATCCTAGAGTCCCTGGTGGCCTTTGTGGCAAGGAATGCTGCCACCCCACCCCATCTGCACTTAGCTGACCAATAACAATCATTCCTCTTGGATACAGACTTCACTGTTATCCACGTCTTTGTCACTTATAAACTGGATTAATCCAGTATATTAACTCTCCATAAAACCACTTGCAAGGTTCAGATAGCACTTAATGCAGCAGCTTGTCTGAGTGCATCAGAATGATCGAGAGCTCACTACACCAACATTCTATAGACTTTATTCAGCATGGGACTACCAGTGCATTTCTGGGGATTACTGCATAGTTTGTGTTCATTATAAGACAATTCACCACAGCCTCGTAACGAACCACAAAAAGTACAAGGTCTCCAAAATACACTGTGCAGAGTGTCTCAGTACTATTATAATATACGTATTTATAATATATGTATTATATTATGTAGATATGGGGGGTTGCTACCCATGTTTTATGACATTACAGTCAAAACTCCATTTTTGTGCAATGTTTGAGTTATTGTATAAATTAGTGTTCCCTCACAAATATCTGAGTAATTATTACCACAATAAACTCTCCAAAAGAAGTTTCATTAGACTATGTAGTAAAATACTATTTAATACCATAGTGTAGGATAACAGTATCCTTCACAACCTCTGTAAAAAAAAACAAACAACTAAATTTAAACAGCAACCTCCGCTGAACGATTACCACTGTTTACTCACTGCAGCAATGGAAGGCTTTTTTCCGTCTCCAGCTGGTGGATGAGTTACATCTGCACCCAGGAATATGACAGGCTGCTGAAATACCGGAGGCCTAATGAAAACAAAGTGAAAGTGATAGCTAGCATTTATAGAATGCTTTTCTAATATTAACTAATTAATCCTCAATACACCTGTGACATAGACAAGTACTATCCTCTTTCACACCTAATTGTGAAGTATTTGTATTGCAGCAGCATCAAAGGTCCTGATCAGAGTTCCATTGTCCTAGGTGAGGAACACACATACTGACAGGTTTCAGAGTAACAGCTGTGTTAGTCTGTATTTGCAAAAAGAAAAGAAGTACTTGTGGCACCTTAGAGACTAACCAATTTATTGGAGTATAAGATTTCGTGAGCTACAGCTCACTTCACCGGATGCATACTGTGGAAAATACAGAAGATTTTTTTATATATAAGCTATTACCAGCAGGAGAGTGGGGTGGGGGGAGAGAAAACCTTTTGTAGTGATAAACACCCATTTTTTCATGGTTTGTGTGTATAAAAAACATCTTCTGTATTTTCCACATTATGCATCCGGTGAAGTGAGCTGTAGCTCACGAAAGCTTATGCTCAAATAAATTGGTTAGTCTCTAAGGTGCCACAAGTACTCCTTTTCTTTTTACACATACTGAGGAAGACACAAAGAGCTTGCAATCTACTTTAATGGGGAAACACAGAAAGTTGTAAATTGTATTTCTCACAATGTATAGCATCTGAAAAAAACGTGCCCAATTCCACAATGCATACCTTAAGTATACCAAAATATTTTTTTAAAAAAAAATCTGAGTTTTCTGTCTGTTTTATAAAAAGACAACAAAGTCCCAGAGCTTTAGCTATTTCTCAGGGATGCTTCAAAGTAACTTTTATTGAAGTACCTCTCCATCAATTGTGTTGTGAGTTTTTGGCTAAATCTGGTCAGTCTGAAAGCTGACATTCTAAGAAGCGACAGAGGAAGTACACTGAAACACCAGGCTAGATGTTGTAAATTTCAACTCCCCTCTCCCAACAAGACACTTTATTTTAAAGGGAGTTTTTGTTTTTTTATCAGAAGGGTGGTGGGCGGGGGAGGGGGCGCAGAGGAGAGTCACTATGTAGACTCGGCAGCTAATTTTAAAAATTAAGTTTCTCAGTATTTCAAAGGCGAAGAGCACTGTGTGTCCATCTTTCAGAAGAAATGCTTGGACAATGTCATTTTAAAACTAATATTTCAGAATAATTTTTTCTTTTCCTGGCTGAAAGAGTAAATTACAATCAATTAAAACAATTCTATGATCAACAAAAAAAATCCACTTGTTTAGAATGTCAATATCCAACATCAGTCATGTTTTGGTGTGAATGGTTTTTTGTCTGTCTACTTAGTTCTATTTTCATGAGAGAACAGTTTATGGAATGAAAAGTAGGAATCATATCTCTCTGAATGTCAGTGTTTCAAGTTGGTGGGTTTGGATGCGAGGAAAGAGCATGTCACTTAGTGAAGTTAAAATGTTGCCAGTGCTAAAGCCCAACTTTTGAGGAGAAAACTGTTACTAATCCACTGTTGTACTTTGCACATGTCCATTGCACTTCAGGTGTGCGTGCGCCCACTACACTAGTGTCAGAGATTTTTCTGTCAGCTGTACCCATTGGGATGGCATGCACGTGTACTCTCTGCCACATGTACTGCTGCATGATGGCATAAAAGAGTAACCGCCCCAGTCCCCTGCAGTTCCTTCTGATCAGAGAGACTTTGATATAGAGGGGAGGGAGGGTGGATTGTGGACTGGATATGTGCCACACATCTCAAAGAACTACCATTACAGAACGGGTTAACAACTGTTTCTTCTTTGAAAGAGTGCAAATGTCCCTTCCACTTCGGGTGACTCACAGGCAGTTCAGTCCAGGGGTGGGACTGGAGGCAGGTAAATAATGGTTCAAAGACCACATGTCCAAATCTGGCATCATCTCTAGTTTTCAGGAGATGGCACAGTGAAAAGCTTAAGTATGTACTCAAGACCAGCTGCTGCTCTACAAAAGTTCAGTATAGGCACCCAAGCCAGAAAGGCTGCATGTGATCTTGTTGAATGTGCTGATCGGTGGAGTTTACAGGAGGAAATCCATAACGAGATTCCTTTCATCCTGTCTGCAACTGCCACGAACAGTTGGAAGGATGACCTAAATGGTTTCGTCCCATCCATTCTAGCGTCCATTGTGTGAAACCTCTCCTCATCTCTATGAGTATGAGGCTTAGGGCAGGACTACACTACAGCTGGGATCAGTGCTCTGAGATCAATCCACCAGCAGTCGATTTAGCGGGTCTAGTGAAGACAACAAACCTCTCTCCAGTCGACCCCTGTACTCTACCCCCAATGAGAAGAGCAAGGTAAGTCAATGGGAGAGTTTCTCCTGTTGACCACCCGCGGTAACTCAACCTAAGATATATTGACTCCAGCTACGTTATTCAGAACTGGACATAATACTCCAGTTGAGGCCTAATCAGCATGGAGTAAAGTGGAAGAATTACTTCACATGTCTTGCTAGCAACACTCCTGCTAATACAGCCCAGAATGTTTGCTTTTTTTTGGTGACAGTGTTACACTGTTGACTCATATTTAGCTTGTGATCCACTATGACCACCAGATCCCTTTCTCCAATACTCCTTCATAGACAGTCATTTCCCATTTGTATGGGTGCAACCAATTGTTCCTTCCTAAGTGGAGCACATTGCATTTGTCCTTATTAAATTTCATCCTATTTTCTTCAGACCATTTTTCCAGTTTGTCGAGATCATTTTGAATTTTAATTCTATCCTCCAAAGCACTTGAAACCCTCCCAGCTTGGTATTGTCTGCACACTTTATAAATGTACTCTCTATGCCATTACCTAAATCACTGATGAAGATACTGAACAGAACCAGACCTGATTCCTGCGGGACCCCACTCAACATGCCCTTCCAGCTTGATTGTGAACCACTGAGAGCTACTCTCTGGGAACAGTTTTCCAACCAGTTATGCACCCACCTTATGGTAGCTCTATCTAGCCTTACTAAAGTTAAGATATACCACATATACCACTTCCCCCCATCCACAAGGCTTGTTACGCTGTCAAAGAACGCTATTAGGTTGGTTTGAAGTGATTTGTTCTAGACAAATCCATGCTGACTGCTACTTACCACCTTATTATCTTCTAGGTGTTTGCAAATTGACTGCTTAATTATTTGTGTCATTATCTTTTTGGGTACTGAAGTTAAACTAGCTAGTCTGTAGGATGTATTTCATCAGGCCCTGGTCACTTGAAGACATCTAACTTGTCTAAGTAATTTTTAATTTGTTCTTTTCCTATTTTAGTCTCAGATCCTACCCCATTTTCACTGGCATTCACTTGTTAGATGTCCAATCGCTACTAACCTTTTTGACGAAAACAAACAAAAAAGTCATTTAGCACTACTGCCATTTCCACATTTTCTGCAAACCCCGATGTAGGAGGTGGACTGAGATTACAGCCCATTCCCAACTCCGGGGCTGGAGTAGCAGCCAAGAAGAAATTGCAATGTGAATTCCTCTCCCACAAATATCCCACCTGTCATTGAGTAACGGGCGTACTCTGTTCTAGCTCTTCCCTTCCCTTCTAGATTGGTCCTGGTGTCAAGTCATAAAAAGAATTATAACAGTGGTACTGCAGTGGACAGAACTGCTTCGTCTTTGGGAGAGGAGAGTAAACATCCAACGACTAGAATCTTCAGGCTATGACATTGGTCATTGGTCTGCTGTGAAAAAACATGTCGGTCCCTCAAAAGGAAGATCTTAAATGCTGTGCTGGACCTCGAGGATGCCCTGATGACTGGAACCATGAACATCTATGTATTGCAATGGATAATGCTGTGGCTCTGGCAGCATCCAGTGCAGCCTGAACCAAGGCCCTGGCTACCAACCTTCGCTTATCCAATTCTGTGAGAAACTCTTGTCTCACCTCCTTTGGCAACTTGTCTGTAAATTGTAAAACACTGTCCCAGAGGGAGAAACGAATAGTTGCTAACTTTCCATAACTGTTGTTCTTCAAGATGTGTTGCACATGACCATTCTACTGTACGTGTGTCTGTGCCTCAAGCACAGTCGCCGGGAATTTTTCCCCTCAGTGGTACCTGTCGGGGTGGCTCACATGCTCATAACGCTGGTATAAAGCATCCAGCTGATCCCACTCCCTCTCAGTTCCTTCTTTCTGGCCAGCTCCGACAGAGAGAGGTAGGAGAAACAACAAGAAGTACCAGTGGCACCTTAGAGGCTAACAAATTTATCTGGGCACAAGCTTGTGTGGACTAAAACCCACTTCATCAGATGCATGGAATGGAAAATACAGTAGGTATATATATGCATATATATGAAAATACAGTAGGAAGCTATTTTATATATATATATTTATCTATCTTCCTACTGTATTTTAGCAGTGGCATTCTCTCTCTCTCTCTAGAGAGAGCGCGCGCGCGCCTCCCAGCGCCATGAAATGGACACGTGCAACACATCTCAAAAGAACAACAGTTAAGGAAGGTCGGTAACCGTTTTCCCTTTGAGTGATTGTACATGTGCATTCCACCGTAGGTGACTCCCAAGCAGTTGCATAGGTGGTGGGATCGGAGATCATGGACACACTGACTGCAAAACAGCTTGACCAAATTTGGCATCATCCCATGTCTGTTGCATTATGGCGTAAAGGGAAGCAAACATGTGCACCAATGACAGAGTTGCTGCTCTGAAAATGTCCTGAATAGGGATCTGCACTAGGAATGCCACTACTAAAGGTTGTGACCTTGTGGAATGTGCAGTCAGGTTAGCTCGTGGCGGAACACCCTCCTGACCATAACACATGAATACATGATGTGATCCAGGACAAAATTCTCTGAGTAGAGAAGGGGAGACCCTTCTGTGATGTTATCTGATTAAAATATAACCATGTAGATCATTGTTGCTACCACTGTTATATAATTGCAAAGAATCTTGTACAAAGTATGTCAAGTAAGGTGTCTATGGAAAGGTTATGATTTGCTGAATCTGATTATGCTATTTGCATGCACTTACCATTTTTGTATCTGAAGTTATGAATATTAACTATGTATCTGTATTTCAAAAGTTTGCTCCTGTGGCACTTAGCCAGCACATTGTGAAGGAACTATTCAAATTTAAATGGCCCATCAAATAACACTTAACTCACAATGGAAGACTCCTATCTACACTTAATGGACTTCCCTGTGAACCTTCTAACTGGAGTATGGGTAATGGCTTCTGCTATGATTAAGTGAAATCATGCATGTAATCACATGTAGAGTCAGTGGGGGAGCAGGAAATAGAATCCAGATCCCTTGCCGCCTGTGCCCTGAAGGAGATGTTCTAGTTGAAACAGGAATTAATTCAGGGAAGAGCTGTGGCCTATTTTATACAGGTCAGACTAGAGATAATTACAATGGATCCTTCTGGCTTTATAATCATGGTTGTTTACTCCATAGATTACAATCAGCCTGTCAATAAGGGAATATTAATTTTCAAGATGACGTCTATTTGTCATTAGATACAATAAGTAAACAGATTGGGTAAGGGTTATTTCAAGTGGAAACTCTGAAACAGTATTGCAAGCTCCAATTTTCAAATAAAGCAGCAATGTTTTTTCTTTATAAACTGACAGATTCCAATGGGAATGATTTTTTTAAAAAATAAGTATTTCTTTGCAGTATCCAAATATTGCAGCAGAGTGCTAATTACATTAAAATTAGATAAGCTATTACCAGCAGGACAGTGGGGTGGGAGGAGGTATTGTTTCATATTCTCTGTGTGTATATAAAGTCTGCTGCAGTTTCCACGGTATACATCCGATGAAGTGAGCTGTAGCTCACGAAAGCTCATGCTCAAATAAATTGGTTAGTCTCTAAGGTGCCACAAGTACTCCTTTTCTTTTTATTAAAATCCAAAAGTGAAATGGACTAGAAACTGATTATAAAACCAGAGTGAAGCATCATAATTAACAAAAAGTAAATTCATTTTTAATAGTTTTAAGGTTATATAAGTAACAGGTTAAAAAAAGTAAACTATTTTAACCTGATTCATGGGTCCCTTAACATACGGAAATAAAACAAAAAAAACTTCAAAATCAACTTACCTCCCTTGTGGCAGCAAAATGTTATTTACTCCTCCTAATTTGACATTGATCTTTAAACAAAGATTGGACAGAGTTTGTGGTGTTGTTCTTTGCACATTTTTCATCTGAACACACTGCGTAGCCATCCCCAGCACAGTGTCACCAACACGCTTTACTTCCGCTGCCAAGACACAAGGAAAAATAAAAGCTATTCAGATATTCTTAAATAAGAAATAAGAAAAATGGCATTCATTTAGCTATGATCACTTTCTCCCAGAATGTTATTGGTTCATTTGTTTAAACTTATTTTCTCCTCACTGCTACTGAGTTTATACTACCATCCTTCTACTGAAAAGATACAAGTTTTATTGGAGTCTAAATGTACAATGATAATTGCAGATTTATCATTTCAATTGCTCCCTCCCCCCCCTTTTTTAAAATACCGTTATATACATTTTAAAACAGTTTACGGAGGCACTGGTTGCAACTCCCTGGCTAAGGCCAAGTTTTGAAATGGACTTAAGGGTATAAATTTCTATTTTGTTCCACATGTAGGTAACTCAATTTTCCAGTGAAATTTCAGAACATTAATTTATTAGACCTTTGAATTTTTTATGCAGCCTTTTTATTTCACTCTGTCTAATAATTTACTATGAAGTATTTGAAATTAAGCTCTGGCTGAAATCTTTCAGAGCTTTTAATATTTTATTATCAACATACCTTTAAAACAATGTTGTACATCTATACAGAAACTGATACAGGTGAATCTTGAGCAAATAACGTACAAAAGATTGTTTAAGAGAAATTTTTAGGATCATTTTTAGGTTTTTCCCAGAGGTTGGTGGCTGGAGTAGATGGAGTTTTTTGGGGGAGTTGATTTTTGTCAGGTTTTCTTTGTTACTTGTGACTTTCCGCTGATTGCAGGTGGACCCAGAGATTACGATGGTTGTACCTTTAATTAAATTTAAAAAAGTAGCGAAAACTTGGCCTTCAGAGGTGGCCATGAGCTCAAGTTTCCAGCTTATATTATGTGCCTCATTGGTAGCCCAGGAGAAAAAGGATAGGAGGAGAAGAGGGAATTAAAAATAAATAAAAAGAGCTGGTTGAGAATTAAGAAGTGGACAGTTTCAAAGGTCTGGAGCACCCTTGAAGGAAGGAAAGAAAATGTAAGGCCCCTACTATTTTCTTTGTGGAATTTTATCTAATTACTTTGAAATACGTTTTTGGTGATGGTATTCTTCATACAACTTACATACTGGTGACTCAAACACCCTCCATCTCCCATATATGTGATCCATATGCACTGACCATAAACTGGAGTCTTCCCTGGCAGAATGACTACCACAAGCTGTAGCCCAGCATAGGTGTTCTTTAGATGTCTGAACATAGGTTCCACACTATCTGCACCCTGGGCGTATTTACAGAAACATGGCTGCCCCTGGATTGGCATTCCTGCATCTCTTGATATCTTCCTCAGTTGTTCTGTGAAGGACCTAAAGAATGCAGATACATTAGATTACTATGAAGAGAGAATGAAACATTCTGTTCTCAGTTATACTGGTACAATGCTGTTGACTTTGACGAGGTTGCATTGGCATAAGAATAGAATCGGACCCAGTATGTGTACATTTTTTCATATCAACCAAATATCATTTAGCTTTTAATGAAGGGACAAAGGGGAGAAGGAACAGGGAGAGAAACTCTCTCAATACTCCCTAATATCGGAAGCTTCAATATGCACCAGCACTCTCATTCACTACAACAATACAGTGGGTATCAAGGTACATGTATATAAAATCACACCATAATGGCAGATATTATTTCTTTTTAACTTCTTTGTGACAACAGTGTCTGGAGGGCATTTCCTATTGGACTGAGCTTAATTAATTAATTTTACACAGGTAAGCAAAGTCAATTTCAGCGTTGGTTTACTTATAGAACCCCTATTTTTAATCTTCTGACCTAAACCCAGAAGTCCTGGTGCAGTGGTCTAAGCACAGGTCTGAAAGCCTGGTTCTAATCCTAGTTCTGAAACTGGCTCCCCACTTTTGGCTTCTGCCAAGTTCATAGAATCATAGAATATAAGGGTTGGAAGGGACCCCAGAAGGTCATCTAGTCCAACCCCCCTGCTCGAAGCAGGACCAATTCCCAGTTAAATCATCCCAGCCAGGGCTTTGTCAAGCCTGACCTTAAAAACCTCTAAGGAAGGAGATTCTACCACCTCCCTAGGTAACGCATTCCAGTGTTTCACCACCCTCTTAGTGAAAAAGTTTTTCCTAATATCCAATCTAAACCTCCCCGACTGCAACTTGAGACCATTACTCCTCGTTCTGTCATCTGCTACCATTGAGAACAGTCTAGAGCCATCCTCTTTGGAACCCCCTTTCAGGTAGTTGAAAGCAGCTATCAAATCCCCCCTCATTCTTCTCTTCTGCAGGCTAAACAATCCCAGCTCCCTCAGCCTCTCCTCATAACTCATGTGTTCCAGACCCCTAATCATTTTTGTTGCCCTTCGCTGGACTCTCTCCAATTTATCCACATCCTTCTTGAAGTGTGGGGCCCAAAACTGGACACAGTACTCCAGATGAGGCCTCACCAATGTCGAATAGAGGGGAACGATCACGTCCCTCGATCTGCTCGCTATGCCCCTACTTATACATCCCAAAATGCTATTGGCCTTCTTGGCAACAAGGGCACACTGCTGACTCATATCCAGCTTCTCGTCCACTGTCACCCCTAGGTCCTTTTCCGCAGAACTGCTGCCTAGCCATTCGGTCCCTAGTCTGTAGCGGTGCATTGGGTTCTTCCGTCCTAAGTGCAGGACCCTGCACTTATCCTTATTGAACCTCATCAGATTTCTTTTGGCCCAATCCTCCAATTTGTCTAGGTCCTTCTGTATCCTATCCCTCCCCTCCAGCGTATCTACCACTCCTCCCAGTTTAGTATCATCCGCAAATTTGCTGAGAGTGCAATCCACACCACCCTCCAGATCATTTATGAAGATATTGAACAAAACCGGCCCCAGGACCGACCCTTGGGGCACTCCACTTGATACCGGCTGCCAACTAGACATGGAGCCATTGATCACTACCCGTTGAGCCCGACAATCTAGCCAGCTTTCTACCCACCTTGTAGTGCATTCATCCAGCCCATACTTCCTTAACTTGCTGACAAGAATACTGTGGGAGACCGTGTCAAAAGCTTTGCTAAAGTCAAGAAACAATACATCCACTGCTTTCCCTTCATCCACAGAACCAGTAATCTCATCATAGAAGGCGATTAGATTAGTCAGGCATGACCTTCCCTTGGTGAATCCATGCTGGCTGTTCCTGATCACTTTCCTCTCATGCAAGTGCTTCAGGATTGATTCTTTGAGGACCTGCTCCATGATTTTTCCAGGGACTGAAGTGAGGCTGACTGGCCTGTAGTTCCCAGGATCCTCCTTCTTCCCTTTTTTAAAGATTGGCACTACATTAGCCTTTTTCCAGTCATCCGGGACTTCCCCGGTTCGCCACGCGTTTTCAAAGATAATGGCCAAGTTACAACCTCTCTACTTCAATTTCCTTATCTATAAAGTGGAAATAAGATACCCTTTGACTCCACAGTGGTTTTATGTGGACTTCAGTTATTATATGTAGTAGAATAGATAAATGCCAACTTATTTTTATTAATGCTATCATCCTCCAAAAAACAAGTCTCCAGAACTAATGCTAAATTCCTAGCATCAAAGTTTCCCTTATCTTAAAGGAAAACTCTTCAAACAGATTTAGTTGAAATTGGTCAAGTTCAAGACCTTGAAGACTCCAGCCTAATGCTTGTTACACCCAAAAACTAGCTACACTTCTACCAACCAGCCTCCCTCCTCAAAAGAAACAGTAGCACTGAGGGAACGCCATCCCTTCTCCCTGCACTCCCAACATCTGAATTCCAGAGAGAACCAACAGAGGATATCTGGGAGCGAAGAGCCCCTTCCTTCTGCCCCCCAGCCCTGTGCAGGGGTTTGGGGAGTCTTAAAAGAAAATTTCATGATCATCCCTGACAACAGCTGCTCGCCAGCTCAGAACAGGGCCCCAAACAAAAGGAGATGTCTTCCTGACTCAAAAGTCAAAAACAGCAGCAGCTCTGCGGCTGCGCTGCTGGTAACTAACTTCTTACAGGATCTGCCAAAGTGCATTCCAACAAGCTCCTCCAACAGAGCAGCACATGAGAGGGCTACACCTGCCCACCAGCTAAGGAAGGTGTATTGTCAGTTTCAGAGTTCTGTCAAAAGTACAAAGGAAGCAAAACTAAAGAGAATTTTTTTTTAAATAGTTTTTCTGGGCTAGTAATCTTAGGTAACAATTTTTCTTCCTAGTTGCTGTGCAAGACACATATATACAAAAAAGGAAACTGAATATATACATAGCACTCAAATGCACAAACTAACTAATGTTTTTCATTTGGTAACTTAAAATAGTAACATTAAAAAGTTGATGATCAAGTTTGTCATCTACTGTACAGCTTCCAGTGATGCAGAACGAATCAAGGCTGATCTCACAGAGAAGGATCTTAAGAGGGGGGCAGTTCACCGTATATTCCATTGTTTGGATGGCTTCTTCACATTCAGGTATGGATTGTCCTTCATTTTCCAAGTGTGTAGGAGATAACTGCAAACACCCATATGAGCTTCTGGTACAGTTCACTGTGATCCATCTTACGAGGGATACTGAAACGAGGTGGTTGGTCTGCAGGATCCATGTTCAGGTTTTGATTCATGACCCTTATGTTTACTCACAGCCTTCGCCACTTGTCTTTTGATGACAGTCCCGAGGTTTTGAGAGCTTTGGCAGCTAACCAGAAGGGGTTCCTGGACTTAAGGCAGCATAGAATCATAGAACATCAGGGTTGGAAGGGACCTCAGGAGGTCATCTAGTCCAACCCCCTGCTCAAAGCAGGACCAATCCCCAACTAAATCATCTTGGGGTACACTGGAGATCTTTGTAGATGGGCAAGTCTGGATTCGTTATTGTGCAGTCATATTCACGTATTACTGCAGCTTCTCTTTGTGGGGATAGTGGTAAGATATGCATGAGGGCAGAGAGCCAGACAGCTGCTGTTGACTTCAGCACTCCTGTGACAATTCTCACAGTGTTCAACTGCACACTGACAAGTTTCATATGTACACTACCATACAGACAGGCAATATTCAGCTGCTGAGAAGACAAGGGGAAAAGTGGCTGTCTATAAGGTCCAAGCATTTGTGGATTATATTGTTCCTAGTCTTTATTTTGGCAGCATTCTCCGTCAGGTGTAGTTGCCCCACATACCACTGATCCAGCACCACTCAGAGATCTTTTGGGAAATCCTCGTGCCTAAGTTTGTTTTGCAGGAGGTGACATTCAAGCTCTTCTTTGCAGTTTACTGAAAAGTTTACTAACTGAAAAATTATTTCCCTTAATCTTTCAACTACAGTAATTTTGGGTATTGTAACAACAGTGGGTAGAAAGCTTTATGAATAAATTTGATTTGTAAGTTGACAATGTCCATTTAAATAGGTCCAATGCAGATATAGATTTTTTCAGATTAAAACAATTTATAGAGACATAATATAGAGACACATGTACATTCGACATTTCAGTGATGAAAAGTGTTCAGTAGTAGACATTTTTCTTCGCTTCGATTGCCTTCTTTCTTCCTTGCTCATCTCCATTTCTTGGAAACCCCTATCGATGGCAGGCACCTTGCCTTATCCAGTGCTGTGCACATTGCTTTTGATATTAAGGATTTTATGATACTAGCACACAGAAAAAACAAACAAGAGAGACATACTGGCTTGTACACCATTCAAAACATAGAATTCTATGTTTGTGACAGGGAAAATACAATAAATAGTTTACAGCTTCTAAAGTAAAGTAGAGATATAACAAAGGGAAAAGATTTTTTTTTTAAATACAGCATTTAGAATATTACTGCAAAAAAGCACAAGGTACAGTAGTGCTACACAATCCACTTCTTTCAAAACCAGTAAGGAACCAAAAATCTTTCTAGGAAAAAAGAAAAAACATACTTACTTAAGATGAACTTCAGTGCACTGTCGCTGGGGAGCAAAGCAGGCAATTGCCCAGACCTTAATTTCAATTCCAGTGTGAAACTGTTTATTCCTCATATCCCAAACCCCTTGAACTGGTGTAGCAATTGCTTTATTCTAGAAAAAGAAGGAAGTGGTAAATGGGTAATACTTCCAAAAAAAATCCCCAAACCCCTGCTTTGCTATAAGTATTGGTCTATTCTATAGTCTCAAGTCTGTGCCTAAATATTAATCCAGTTATTACACAGATCACTATCCTTCCTATCATTACAGCAACATATGTTCAAGTACGTGAATCTGATAATTTGTGAAATTTAGGAAGAGATAATACAGTTTATTCAATTTTTGAATGCTTTTTAAAAAAAATACAAATCCCTATATTTATTACAATAAAAATCAGCAGAATATATATGGGTAGTAAATGGGAAGAGTAATGAATGGCTGATAATTAATACATACATACAAGCTTGCAGTTCTATAGCTACTTTCCAGGAGTTCAATACAGTTTGCAGGAATTAATTTAGCCTCACAACAGTCCAGTAAGATAGGTAAGCATCATTACCTATATTTTATAGATCAGTAAACTAAGGCACATAAAGGTCCAGGGATTCACACATGGTCACAGAGAAAAGATACGTGGAAGATCCGAGAACAGGATCCTGGTTTCTGAACTCACAGTCATATAGAACTAAGTCTTTCCCCTATCTAGTAGACACTACTCTGAGGAATTCGCTACAAGATCACGAGTTATATAGGCAACAGAAGATGAAGACTGAAGTAAATCTCAGGATGGGAATTATCTTAATTGGTATGGATATCTAAAAGTGTGCAGCTTTTCCTCATATCTTTGACTGAAAATGCATTCTTCATGATGTTTTGTTTTAATTTTAAATTGTACTGCAAGGTTTCATGAAAATCCAGGATAAATTGAAAGATCAAGATATGTCCTTAAAATTATGACCCTCACTGAAATTGTAGGGCAAACATTTCAACAACAGGGTAGACACAGAGGCAGTAGCAGGAACAGTGTGAGCAAAGGAGCAACCTATACATCCACTCCAGACCCCTCAAAGCCCCAAACTCTAGCTTTTACTCTGTTTTATTTAGGTTTTTATACTGCACCCACCAGCATGGTATTTGAGTATCTTCATTACCCTTTGTGACATTAGAGACCACCCTCTATAGCAGTCTTTCCCAAATTGTGGGTCCTGCCCACCAGTGGGTCGAAGGAAGGATCTAGCTTGGTCACCTGTCACTGCCCCCCCATATCACCCCTTGCCTTACACATACCCTCAAAGAATTCCACCATCAGGGCTGTCCGGCATTTAGGGGATGGGGGAAGAGTTAGGCATAAGGGGAAGTTTGCCCCAGATGCCCAAACCAAGTGATGTTGCAACATGGTACACAGAGTTGCAGTGCCACTCACTCAAATTTTGTTGTGTGGAGGGATTGCTGGGCCAAATCCAAGTGGTGCTGCGATTCAGTGTGCCAGGTTGCAATGCCTGAAATGGGGGGACAGGAGCTGCTGCTGTTGGGTGGATGTGGGGTGGGTTCCCTCTCCAACCCCTTTCTCCCCACCCCGGGCCCCTCCAGCTAGCTGCGGCTGAAGTAGTAGGGGGCAGGGCTGGAAGAACAAGATCAAGGGCCACAGATTACTGATTGGTACCTTTTTGGTGCTACTACAATATAATAAATTTCAGAGCTGTTGAACATTCACAACTCCAGATAGAGTTTTCCTCAAGTCAAATAGAGCTTTGGGTGTTTAGCACATCTGAAAATGGAGACCTTAGGTGTCCTAAGTTAGGTACCCAAGAACAGAGGAACCCAAAATTAGAGGCCACTTCTAAAAAAGTTGGGCCTTAGCTTTCTTGTCTCAGTTTCCACATCTGTACTATGGGGATAGTATTTCCACATCTACCTCACAGGAGTGTTATAAAGGATTAAATTAGTTCATGTATGTAAAGTGACTTGACAATGATAAAAGTTATGTAAGTATTATGGGGGTTCCCAATGGAGTTACACCCAGGACTGAACTGAAGCACTCATATTAAAGAAGTTGTCAACTACTACAAAGGAATCATCCCAGACACTGCAGCATCTGTTTACATACTCTGCCTCCATACAGAATTGAGGGAGGTTGTAGGACTCTCCCAGTCACATCAGTCATTTCATCTTTGACCATTATTCCAAATTCACGAACATAAGGATCAGTATTAAAACTTGCACTTCGCATCTAAAAAGAGAAAACAAATGAATATTTCTAGTGGCAAAACAAAGTCCTTTTTGCATAAGTGACCCAAATTTTCAAAAGTATTTTCTAATTTTAGTGCACACCTTGGTCACTTGGGACCTGAATTTTGGTGATGCCAAGAATTCACAGCTCCCATTATAACTCCACTTGTAGGTATGGTGCTCAGTACTACTTAAAATTTGGTTCTGGGTGTCTGAAACAGGGCACCTAAAATTAGATGACTCTTGAAAATTGAGGAGGTTATAAATATTTTTAAGCATCTCATTAACTGATGACATGAGAAAGTGTTTTACAGTTTATTACAAACTATGTTTATTACCTGTAATAAACACTAGATAGTAGTTCATTAACTTCAAGAGAAAAGCTTTGTTCCATACTGTACCTCTGTTCCCTCCACAGACAAACAGCACTCACCAATTTGCTAATCTCTTCTTGACGGTCAGGTGCTGATCTGGCAGTTGCCCGTATCATAGTGGAAGTTTGATTGTCAGTTAGCTTCTTTATACACCTTTGTCCTGCCACTATGTTGCACACCTAAGGTAACCCCATACAAATTGAGTTAAAAATTCAGAAAATATCTGTTATACTTTTCTATATTTATTCCTGCAACAATTCCCTAAGCAGTAAGATAGCTGTAAGAGAAAACAAACATTTTTAGCTTGTGCTTTTTTTCCCCTTTCTTCTTTCCAAGAATACAGTATTTTGATTAGTTTACTTGCCTCAAGAGGAAGGTATGTATGTTTCTGCTCCTGTCCAACTTGTAAACATGGAAGGTGAGGATAACGTAGAACCAACTTGTGTCTGTCCTTAAAATATTGAGCTACAGTGCATTCAACTGTTTGTCCACTCTCCTGCTGAAGTGGGAATCTATAGGAAACCAAATGTGAAAACCAACCATTTTACCAACAATACTTTCCCAAACTTTCTCATAATGTATTTTAGCACAATGAAAGACCCCATGACAGAGAGAGAGAGAGAGAGTGTGAGAGAAATACATTATTCTCTGTAATGGAGTGGAGCGAGCCTTCCTACATTTTCACTTTTCAGGAGAGAGAAGTCTACAGAGGGTTAAACACCTATCACAGGGGTTCTCAGACTTCATTGCACTGTGACCCTCTTCTGACAATAAAAGTTACTACACGACCCCAGGAGAGGGACTGAAGCCTGAGCCCGCCTGAGTCCCACTGCCCCGGGTGTAGAGGGACCAGGGCCAAAGCCTGAGCCCCACTGCCTCTGGTGGGAAAGGGGTCGAAGCCAAAGTCCAAGGAATTCAGCCCCAGCCAGGGGGCTTGTAACCTGAGCCGCACTGCCCAGGGCTGAATCCCTCTGGCTTTGGTCCAAGGTGGTGGAGCTCGGGCTTCGGCCCTGAGCTCCAGCAAGTCTAAGCCAACTCCGGCAACCCCATTAAGTTGGGGTCGTGACCCACTTCGGGATTCGAACCCACAGTTTGAGAACCACTGATCTATAAAAACAAAAAACAGTGCATCTTAGGGAATGGTCTACATCTACAATCTTCATCCCCCTTTTCTTGGAACCAAAACAGAGTGTATTGTTTTTGCTGCCTGAATCCCTTAAGATCTAGAGCAAATATCCAGAAAATGGGCATCCAAATGGCCTGACTGACAATCACTGTAATAGTATGTATCTCCATTCCCATGCCATGGGAAATAACAGATCTGCTATAAGATGTAGTACCGGAGGAGTTAACGGCAAGTCAGTCAGAATAAACAGCTCTTCATAAACCTATATACTGTTAAACAAAATGGTGGTGTAAGTCTCTCACATCTGTTAAACGTTTCACATGTAACCTGCCCAACACCAAGAGATTGAACTACATCTCCTAAAAACAGTTTAAGTGAGGGTCTGTCAGAAGTAAAATATTATAGGCATTTTAGCGTTGAGATATAAATGTACCAAATGCAACTTAATTCTACTTCACTAATTTAAGATATTAATATAAATTAGTGGAATCCTGACAAAGCTTTAAGGCCCATGTTGCTTTAAAATGAAAAAAGAAAGAAAAAAAAGTGTATGTATGTATATATATAAAAAACTTATCACGTTTTATTACCACTGAAAAAATACAAAGAAGCCCAGCAACAGAACAGTTAACTACCAGTAGTTGCTAATATTGTTCAGGTGTCTTATAGTAAAAAAAATATGCTGATTGCAGCCTCATTCTTTGCATTTCTTTTAATACCACTCAGCTGCAATATATATGCATATTTTGAAGTTACTCACAAGACTTTTAAATAAAGAATTCCAAAAATAAAAGGAGAAAATTTATAAACATTAGTGCCACAAGAAGCACCAAAGTTTAGGAGAACAGCTGGCAAAAGTTTTGGCTGTTAGAGACAATGGAGTGTAATACTCATTTTTAAGTATGTAAATCAGCTGTAATTATACCAGTGTAAATGAAAAGAGAATCGGGTCTATATGTTGCAGAGGTAACATTCAGCCTACCTAAAAAAGGTATCACTTTCTTACTAGCCAATTATTAAAATGGCCAATGTCATCAATGGGCTTTCTATTCCTGCAGCAAGTGGGGAAATCCAAAGGGGAGAAAAGAAAAAATTTAGGTGTGAACAGCTGGTGGGGCCAGATTGAAGAGGGTAACTGAGCTGTCACAAAAGTCCATCTTATTAGTAAAAATATAATTAAAACATAGAAAAGGGAGAGATTAGTTTGATGTCTATTTTTAGTATAGTTTATTTTTAAGTGCTTGAGACGTGACAACTGAAAGTATCATTATACTGTGACAGCTTCCTATGTTGGTATACGTCAGTAAGGCAGGTTGATAGCTTTCCATGACAAGAACTGGACCGGATATCCACAAATTTGAAGATATTCACTGTACTATCATTTTAAAATACTATAGGAGCAAAAGGAAAAACAAAAAACTATATTTTACGTTTGGTGACTTGCTGGTCGTCTGGTGACATTGCACACTCGGTATTTTCTCTTCATTTGCCCACAGTGTGTTATCTCCACCTTTAGACCTAACAATATGAAAACATGTATCACTACTTCATTTCTTCAAAACCATTTTCAATCATTTAAATCTTTGGTTACTTTTGTTCTCCTATTACAGTCTTGTTATAATTTGTAAGTAATTAGGAATTCTTTATTTTTTGGACTATTCAAGTACTATACTATGCATGCTCAATAAACACGAAAGTTAAAATCCTTCTCAAACCTTAAATAAAAAAATCAAAAAAGGTGGGTAATGCAGCAAGTTGTCCTTTTAACTTTCCTTTCCTCTTTTTACAGGTTTCCCCCACTTACGGATACGTGCATTTGCTAGTAGAGATGGGGGGGAGGGGGGTGTCTTGGCTACAAAATGTACAAAACCAGTTGATATAAATGGCTTGACTGTTGCGCTGCAATTCTAGAATTAGCATCCATTCATTTTCTCTAATTTCCCACACACGGAAATAAAATTACTATAAAGGAGCAAAATATATTTTCAGTTCAACTGTTAATGAAACACTGAAGACCAGACTGGCTAAGGAAACGAGCTGTAAAATGTCAGCTACCTCAAGGATTTTAATGTCTTGTCAGTGTTCATGGAGATGTTGGAAAAGTGTTAGTTCTTATAGAGAAATTATTTAATATGTGCCACATGTTCGGGCTTACATACAATTTCACTCAAGTAATCAACATTTTTCCACATAAAATCAATGTTAACCCACTCAACCAGTTACAAAACAAGATCAGTCAAACTTGCAGCAATAAAAAACTTACTAACTACTAAATAACAAAAATAATGAGTAGTCCTTGTGGCACCTTAGAGACTAACAAATTTACTTGGGCACAAGAACCCACAAAAGCTTATGCCCAAATAAATTTGTTAGTCTCTAAGGTGCCACAAGGACTCCTTGTTATTTTTGCTGACACAGATTAACACAGCTACCACTCTAAAACCTGTTCCTAAATAACACTGGTTAAAGATTCATAAAAGTTTTGCTTGGTAAGAATCCTGAAGGATATCCCAAACCACAAAAAACAGAACAAAACTTTGTCTGTCTAGAGTTAAAGAACAAGCATTACAAATCCAGGAAATTCAGAGGTAAGAAACTTAAAAGCCCAAACACTTCAATGTATGAAAATGCACAGTTAAGGACTAAGAAAAGGAGTACTTGTGGCACCTTAGAGACTAACCAATTTATTTGAGCATGAGCTTTCATGAGCTACAGCTCACTTCATCGGATGCATACCGTGGAAACTGCAGCAGACTTTATATACACACAGAGAATATGAAACAATACCTCCTCCCACCCCACTGTCCTGCTGGTAATAGCTTATCTAAAGTGATCAACAGGTGGGCCATTTCCAGCACAAATCCAGGTTTTCTCACCCTCCACCCCCCCACACAAATTCACTCTCCTGCTGGTGATAGCCCATCCAAAGTGACAACTCTCTACACAATGTGCATGATAATCAAGTTGGGCCATTTCCTGCACAAATCCAGGTTCTCTCACCCCCCTCCCAAAAACCACACACACAAACTCACTATCCTGCTGGTAATAGCTCATCCAAAGTGACCACTCTCCTTACAATGTGCATGATAATCAAGGTGGGCCATTTCCAGCACAAATCCAGGTTCTCTCACCCCCCCCACACCCCCATACACACACAAACTCACTCTCCTGCCTCAGAAACAACTCTGACATCATAATCAAAAAGGCTGACAAAGGAGGTGCTGTTGTCATCATGAATAGGTCGGAATATGAACAAGAGGCTGCTCGGCAGCTCTCCAACACGAGTTTCTACAAGCCATTACCCTATGATCCCACTGAGAGTTACCAAAAGCAACTACAGCATTTGCTCAAGAAACTTCCTGAAAAAGCACAAGATTAAATCCGCACAGACACACCCCTGGAACCCCGACCTGGGATATTCTATCTACTACCCAAGATCCATAAACCTGGAAATCCTGGGCGCCCCATCATCTCAGGCATTGGCACCCTGACAGCAGGATTGTCTGGCTATGTAGACTCCCTCCTCAGGCCCTACGCTACCAGCACTCCCAGCTACCTTCGAGACACCACTGACTTCCTGAGGAAACTTCAATCCATCGGTGATCTTCCTGATAACACCATCCTGGCCACTATGGATGTAGAAGCCCTCTACACCAACATTCCACACAAAGATGGACTACAAGCCGTCAAGAACACTATCCGCGATAATGTCACGGCTAACCTGGTGGCTGAACTTTGTGACTTTGTCCTTACCCATAACTATTTTACATTTGGGGACAATGTATACCTTCAGATCAGCGGCACTGCTATGGGTACCCGCATGGCCCCACAGTATGCCAACATTTTTATGGCTGATTTAGAACAACGCTTTCTCAGCTCTCGTCCCCTAAAGCCCCTACTCTACTTGTGCTACATTGATGACATCTTCATCATCTGGACCCATGGAAAAGAAGCCCTTGAGGAATTCCACCATGATTTCAACAATTTCCATCCCACCATCAACCTCAGCCTGGTCCAGTCCACACAAGAGATCCACTTCCTGGACACTACAGTGCTCATAAACAATGGTCACATAAACACCACCCTATACTGGAAACCTACTGACCGCTATTCCTACCTGCATGCCTCCAGCTTTCACCCTGACCACACCACACGATCCATCGTCTACAGCCAAGCTCTGCGATACAACTGCATTTGCTCCAACCCCTCAGACAGAGACAAACACCTACAAGATCTCTATCAAGCGTTCTTACAACTACAATACCCACCTGCAGAAGTGAAGAAACAGACTGATAGAGCCAGAAGAGTTCCCAGAAGTTACCTACTACAGGACAGGCCTAACAAAGAAAATAACAGAACGCCACTAGCCATCACCTTCAGCCCCCAACTAAAACCCCTCCAACGCATTATTAAGGATCTACAACCTATCCTAAAGGATGACCCAACACTCTCACAAATCTTGGGAGACAGGCCAGTCCTTGCCTACAGACAGCCCCGCAACCTGAAGCAAATACTCACCAACAACCACATACCACACAACAGAACCACTAACCCAGGAACTTATCCTTGCAACAAAGCCCGTTGCCAACTGTGCCCACATATCTATTCAGGGGACACCATCACAGGGCCTAATAACATCAGCCACACTATCAGAGGCTCGTTCACCTGCACATCCACCAATGTGATATATGCCATCATGTGCCAGCAATGCCCCTCTGCCATTTACATTGGTCAAACTGGACAGTCTCTACGTAAAAGAATAAATGGACACAAATCAGATGTCAAGAATTATAACATTCATAAACCAGTCGGAGAACACTTCAATCTCTCTGGTCACGCAATCACAGACATGAAGGTCGCTATCTTAAAACAAAAAAACTTCAAATCCAGACTCCAGCGAGAAACTGCTGAATTGGAATTCATTTGCAAATTGGATACTATTAATTTAGGCTTAAATAGAGACTGGGAGTGGCTAAGTCATTATGCAAGGTAGCCTATTTCCCCTTGTTTTTTCCTACCCCCCCCCTCCAGATGTTCTGGTTTAACTTGGATTTAAACTTGGAGAGTGGTCAGTTTGGATGAGCTATTACCAGCAGGAGAGTGAGTTTGTGTGTGTATGGGGGTGGGGGTGTGTGTGAGAAAACCTGGATTTGTGCTGGAAATGGCCCACCTTGATTATCATGCACATTGTAAGGAGAGTGGTCACTTTGGATGAGCTATTACCAGCAGGATAGTGAGTTTGTGTGTGTGGTTTTTGGGAGGGGGGTGAGAGAACCTGGATTTGTGCAGGAAATGGCCCACCTTGATTATCATGCACATTGTGTAGAGAGTTGTCACTTTGGATGGGCTATCACCAGCAGGAGAGTGAATTTGTGTGGGGGGGTGGAGGGTGAGAAAACCTGGATTTGTGCTGGAAATGGCCCACCTGTTGATCACTTTAGATAAGCTATTACCAGCAGGACAGTGGGGTGGGAGGAGGTATTGTTTCATATTCTCTGTGTGTATATAAAGTCTGCTGCAGTTTCCACGGTATGCATCCGATGAAGTGAGCTGTAGCTCATGAAAGCTCATGCTCAAATAAATTGGTTAGTCTCTAAGGTGCCACAAGTACTCCTTTTCTTTTTGCGAATACAGACTAACACGGCTGTTACTCTGAAACCAGTTAAGGACTGTAACTCTACCACCACGCAAGTGTCTAGGACACAGACGGAAGGCGGCTGAGGCAGACCACCTCATTATTCATAAAAGTTTTACGTCAACCATCACTACAAATACAAACAAATGCTTTACAGGAGGTCAAACTAGATGATCACAATGGTCCCTTCTAGCCTTAGAATCTACAAATATACCCTTAATCAGACAGTGGCTGTGCAAACTCCAGCCTTTATACAGCCATACCCTGTGCACAGAAAGGAACACACTCATTTTTTATTTCAAATTATTTTTTAAAAATAATCTATCCCAGACTCTAGCACCCTTGGATACAAGGCAATTGGATTGTGTTTTTAATTAAGACAAAAATATCAGGAAAAAAAATAAATTCAAAAGCCTTCTACCACATGGAAGAAGCCAGCTAATTAACCTGAACTTTCCCCATTTAACTACAAACTTGGGTCAATGGAAGCTGCCTTACACCAACCTAATAATGCATGCATCTACACTACTAGCTCCCTTCCACCAACCTAACTCACCTGTAACGTCAACTTAATTACTCCCCCTCTATGAGAGATACAGTGCTTAACTCAATGCTGATGGGTCGTCAGAGAGGTAGTATAGACACACCATTGTGTAAGGCAACTGAATTGGCCTCCTGGGAAATTCCCATTTTCTGTTTGACCCGTGTGGAGAGCTTCTGGGGACTCAACATCTCGAACACGCTCCAGCCTGGAGCACACAGGAGGTGGTGGATCTTATTGGTCGGTGGGGGGAAGAGTCTGTGCAGGCACAGCTCTGATCCAGCCAAAGAAACAGACATCTATGAAAAGACTGCACGGGGCAGAAGAGCTACACCAGGGACATGAAGCCGTGCCGCTTGAAAATCAAAGAATGTCAGCAGGCATACCAGAAGAGGCCCTGTTTACACACAAACTTGCATTGCATTAAACTGGTTTAGTCCAATTAGTTTAGTTGAACTGGAGTAAACCCCTGTGTTGATTCTCATTTCAATGTAGCTTTAATCTGTTCCTAATTAACTTTTGCTAAACCAAATAAGCCTGGTTTAAACCAAAAGAAGAGAGAGTGCCCATAAAGCTTTTTGCACTGGTTTAAGCAAATCAGTTTAAAAGCACACATTTTAGTTAAAAACTTATGCAATGTTGTCTGTAGACAAGTTCTCATTGACTTCACTAAAATTATATTAAGGATAAATATGGGCACACACTCCTACAGTAGGAGGAAAAACAGGATGGTTGAGGACTGAAGCATAGACCTGACTGCTGCAATTCTTAAAGTCTTGTTAAATATTTTAGGTTATGGCTACACTATAGCTTAAGTCAACATAAGTTATGTCACTCAGGGGTGTGTGGCTAATTCACACCCGAGTGACAACTTATGCTGATTTAAGCGTTGGTGTGGACAGCACTGTCGGCTTCTTCTGCCGACATAGCTACCGCCGCTTGTAGAGGCTGGAGTAATTAAGCTGACAGGAGAACTCTCTCCTGTCGGTTTGGAACAGCTACAGTAGAGAGCTTGAAGTGGTGGAGCTGCATGGGTGCAGCTGCACTGCTGTAAATTCTCTAGCGTAGCCATAGCTTTAGGCCTTATCTACACTACAGAATTTTATCGATGCAAGTTACGCATATAGCCACTGCTGTAATTAAACCACTGTTGCATGTCCACACTATGCTTGTGTCGGTGGAGCGCATCCACAATAGCAGTTCTTGCATTGACACAGACAGCAGAGTACTGTGGGTAGCTAGCCCACTGTGCAATCGGCCACAGAGTGCTTTGGGGAGGTTGCAATGGCTCACGGGGGCAGGTACAGCATCACAAGATGAAGGTTTCTCAATCCCGTTGTTCCATGGGCATCCTACTAGATTGCCAGATGCTTTTCAACTGTCCTGGTAACCTGCCACTCAACCATCACTGTCAGCATGGATCCTGCACTGCTGTTCAGTATTGTGCTGTGCATTATGAACAGAAGGCTATAGAAGAGGAGCCCAAGGGGGGGAAAAGGGGGATGGGACTATTCAGCTGGGGGATGCTTGAAGGAACATATTAACACTGAGCCACAGTACTGTGTGTTGTTGTAATGTGCTGAACCTGACATGGTTTTTTGCACTGTGCTATGAACCTTGTAATGATTGCTAGGTGTGCCCCAAAAGTAACACATTTTAAATCAGCTCTCAGTAATATGACAAAACTGACACTGCTGAACACTAACACAAGAAGCCCACAGAAGTATGTGGCGGGGCGGGGCAGGGGAGAGAGAGAGAGAGAGAGAGAGAGACACACACACACACACAGAGTGTTGGGGGAGAGTGAGTGTGTCAGCATGCTGTCTCTTCTCTACGTTAAGACAGCAGCCAGAAGCAACCAATCCTGAGGCAGACAACTGGTGTCCCCTGGCCCCCCCTCAGCTCAGCGGAGATTGGTACACCAGCAAGAGAAGGGGACACCTGAAATCAGCCTCAGCCTCCACCTCCCTCCCTGGCTCTGCACAGCATGAGTCTCTTTCCCCCCCACCCTCCCACTCCCAGCAGCATCCCACCTTGCCTGCCTGCCACAGTGTGCCTAGTGCAGATAAGAGCAGAATTCCATGTTAGTGTTTTGATTCCACGATTCCCTCCGAGTTCTCCCACAGCCTCCTCTCCCCACAGACCAAAGAGATTTACCCCCTCCCCTGTAGTCCAGGCAGGAGTGCTTTTGCTGCTCAGAGCCAGCCTGCTCAGCTGGGCAGTAGCTCTCCACACTAAGGAATTTCAAAAACTTTTTGGGGCTTTGAAAGGGGTGGGGTGAATGTCCGTTTAGCTGGATGCAAGGCAGCGGAGTTCAAAACAGAGAGCAGAGCAGTTACAGCGGGCACTGTGGGATACCTTCTGTAGGCCAGTTACGGCAACGTAACAAACGTAGTGTCTACACTGACACTTTGTCGATCTAACTTTGCCACAAAAAGCTCTACACCTCCCGTTGAGGTGGTTTTATTTTGTCAGCAAAGCAGGAGAATTTAGTCAGTGGGAGGAGCATTGTAGTGTGTACACCTCCACTGTTTTGTTGACAAAAGCTACCTTTTGCCGACAAAACTGTGTAGTGTAGACAAGGCCTGAGTTATAAGATGCTTCTGCTTAGAATAAGACACTTTTGTTACCCAATCTCTGTTCAAAAGCATACATATAGGATTCTATGTCTGTCAATTTCTATCAGAAATAAATCTCCCCCTGGCACCCAAACTTACCTTGGCACTTGGAAGTTCACATCACAAAGAATTAAGAAGTTTTGCTCCAATTATGTAATTCATACCTTTTATTTCTTTGGTAAACTTTACCCTTTGGGAATCTGTGAGAGGTTTCTGTTGCTCTTCAATACTCTTGAAATCCAAAACTTCACATACAAACTCAATTACTGGCTGTGCCTTATAAAATGCTGTTGCAGACACTGCAGACAAAGAGAAACACACCTGTGCAATTAATTACATTACTGGAGACTTTACAGCTCTGAAGAAATTCTTGAGAAGTCCAGCAAATGGGATTAATTTGAATCATTTCAAATGAACAGGATGGAACACAAATGGAGAGCAGCACAGTACATACCATCAATATTAAGCATCATTTTCCAGAGTGAAGGTCTGACTGATTGATGGAACCCAAACCAAACTTCTCTGCCACCACCCAGAGGGTTTGAGCACCCTTCAGATGCAGTAAAAAAAGAACGGCCAACAGGAGTATACCTGCAATCAAGAAAATAAACCCATTAACTACTGAATCAGATCTTATAATTAAAATAGGAAAAAATCCTATATTAATAAAGCTGCAACAAATACAAAAATCATTTACATTCCTTTCAATGCTTCAAGTTTGTGTGTGTGTGTGTGTACACATCAAATAAAAACCCTACACACACACACACACACACACTATTTACAATGTCAGGACTAAGTCTATGTATCTTTTAACTTTTAATGAATCATTTTAAGAGACTTGCTATTCTTCATGTTTTATATGTTATACTGATAACTGTTGGCCTTACAGAAAATACAAGCCAAAGAACTTTAACATAGTTCAGTATGCCAGTGCAGCCACAATTCAGTAAGGGAAAAAACCTAAACAATTTTTATTTAAATCTTGCAGTATAACAATTGACCCCACTTAATATTTTCTAAATAATCATTATTTTTCATAGTATAAATGCATGACCACCATAAAAGAGAAACTATGGATTTATCACTTTGTTTCCTTTCTAAAATATGTATTTTTAATTTAATACCACAATTTTCAAACAAACTGAAAAGTATATTTGTTACTATTAATCTATTTCAAACTTACTTATGTTATTATTTTCAAAATTTGTATATGAAAAACAAGAATATCACCGGAATATGTAGTAATGGGTCAAATCTTGAAGTCCTTGCTCAAGAAAACTTCCAGTGAAACCAATGGAAGCTTGGTCTGAGTGAGGTCCAGCTGAGATATTTTTAAGGTGTCTATCAGATTGGTATCTCAGCACAATACGAAATCAGAGTCTAACAAAAATCAGGTTAATCTTTTCCATTATCCCATGAAAAGAGGTATGAATGTAATTATGCAAGGGAGGGAATTTTGCGTGTTGTGACAAACTAACGAAAGTGAAAAGAAAAGGAGTACTTGTGGCACCTTAGAGACTAACCAATTTATTTGAGCATGAGCTTTCGTGAAAGTGAGTTTTCCCCCTTAATGTCAGGATTTGGCAATGATACTTGCACTTTTAACATATAATGCGACCTGTTACATTTTGGGGATCACACAGACCAGTAAGGGATTCTATCACTGCTTGCCTTGAATGGTGGAATGTCTTCATGCTGCGCTGCTATGGCTGAGATCCTTGACACCATTATCAAACCCACAAGCAGAATGTCTCACCCTGGTTCTCACCAGCCTAGTCACTCCTCGCAGGGTGACACCAACATCCCTTCCAGTCTTAAGTCTCCCCAAATCCATCCTCCCCAAGTTCTTAAGTACCAGACACTTGGATTGTTTCCCTCTGGTTCATCACCTCTTCAGGAGTGAAACCTGCTCCCACCCAGTTATCAGTTCACTTTGGCGCACACACACACTCCCCAAAGTTTGCACAACAGACACCTGCTTCATGTGAAAATAATCAAAATGTTTATTTAACAGAAAAACCACAGACACAAAGATGAAATAGTAAGGAGGAGCTAATATATAAACGTTTAAGAAAGAAAGAAAGAAGCAACCTCAGGCTTTACACTTCCATATTAGATAAAATCCCTTTTCTAATACAAAAAGAAAAGGAGTACTTGCGGCACCTTAGAGACTAACCAATTTATTTGAGCATAAGCTTTCGTGAGCTACATCTCACTTCATCAGACGCATCCGATGAAGTGAGCTGTAGCTCACAAAACCTTATGCTCAAATAAATTGGTTAGTCTCTAAGGTGCCGCAAGTACTCCTTTTCTTTTTGCGAATATAGATAACACGGCTGCTACTCTGAAACTTTTCTAATACAAGTTACCCATTGCCCTTGAACAGTTTTCCTGCCTATCCCTAACTATAGTGGGGATTCCCCATTTCCTTGGCAGGTTTCTGCCCAAAGGCTGTTGCTCGGTTTCTGGATGCCTTTCACTTGAAAACCCTTCCACTTCAAAGGATTTGCAGTTTTTTTTCCCTTCAAATCACCATAGATATTTAAAGTGAGACAACTGGGGATTTCCCCAAATGTGTTTCTAATAACTTTAACAGCCCATCTTTGTCTTTTCTTGGGTTGCACAATGGATTGTTACCCAAGTCTGGTTTTGTGTCTTGGGAGGTGTCTCTCTCTGTCTGATTGTTCATTGTCCTGCTATAAGGTGGAGCTGAAGTTTATGAGCACAGTTCTCTATACACACAACCGCATAATCTCATAATCATAGCTTGTATAGAAATCACATAATAATTAAGTTTAGAACATTCAAGCTTTCATAAAAGATCTTACTCAACAACATATTTTGATAGCACAATAACACTGTGTACAGTCAGTTGATTCAACTGCTTATTCTTTGGGGTTCAACCCCCCATCCTCCCTTTGGGGTGTCTGGACCCTGATTATCACATGATTTACAGAGATTTAATTGGTTTCAGAGTAGCAGCCCTGTTAGTCTATATTCGCAAAAAGAAAAAGGAGTACTAGTGGCACCTTAGAGACTAACCAATTTATTTGAATATAAGCTTTCGTGAGCTACAGCTCACTTCATGAGATGTGATGAATATCAAAATAGGATCTTCAGGTGGTTTTTAAATCTACATCTGATTGACTGCCAGGAGCCATTAGGGGGATGATGGCTGCATAGCTTTACAGCTCCTTTCCCTCCCTCCTAAAATCCCAACCATCAGCAATTTAACCATTCCCCCCTCCCCATCTAATTTTTATCAGATATTATTTTACAACTCTTGTCTTTCAACTTAATACCCTTGTGAATGCTGCTTCATCTCCAGACTCTCCACAAAAATCCCAAAAAACAGAAGTTGTCAGACAACCCTCTTTCAGCCTGACCAGGGACAGGCTGCCCCTCTGAGACTAGATGAAATTATGGACTGGTTAACACACATCTCAAGTGAATAGACATTCTTGAGAAAAATATCTGAAGATAACCGAGATCGAAAATATTATAAGTATATTTCAAACTATTTACAAGGTTTGGCATCTAAACTAGAGGAAGCTGAGAACAGAATCGCCTCACTAGAAGACACAGTGATTACTATGAATATAACTGCAGACCAACAGAAAAGAACTATTAAAAGCACTTCAGGTTTCAGAGTAGCAGCCGTGTTAGTCAGTATCCATAAAAAGAAAGAGAGTACTCCTTTTCTTTTTATTAAAGCACTTCAGGAGATGGTTAATGATCTCAAGGGAAGATCAAGGAGAAACAAGTACTCCTTTTCTTAATGTGAGAGATGTGGGACTCCCAGATACGGGCTGGAAAAAGGCAGAACTGTTGAATTTTATCCGCCATGCTGACAGCACTTTTACCTCTGCCCCCTGATCAGAACTTAGATATTGAGAATCCATTACTCCCTTGCAGCAAACCCTCTCCAAATGCGAAGCCTCTGGCCATAATTTTAAGATTTTAAAAATACAATATTAAGGAACTCATTCTTAGAAAAGCCCATGAACTTAAAAATCTAACACAGAAACAACACAGACTGATGATTTTCCTGGATTATACCAAGGACATTGTAGAAAAGAAGGCTAAAATCAATAGGTCAAGAGCCCTAGCCAAAGGGTAGGTGTGGACTACTTAATTTCCTTCCCTGATACTTTCAAAGTTAAAAAGGAAGGCAAGATGATTCGTTTCACAACAGCAGAAGAAGCTGAAAGGTATCCAAGCTCATAACAGCAAAAGACTTCTCAAAGATACAGACAGGATTCATTAAAACAACTCTACCAGATTTGTCACTGCAATGTGGGAATTCACTTCTCAGTCTAACAACAAACTGCACAGGGCAAATCCACCACTTCCTCTCCTCCCTTCCCTTTAGTTTTATTTCTCCGGACTTCCACAGTTTCACTAGCAGGGGGAGCAAACTGCGGAGCGAGTTGGTGGGGAGAAGGCTCTCATCTCTGACTGAATTTTGACTCTCCTGACCCTCCATCCAGACCCAGGAAGCTGCTATTGGCTCTGGCTGCTGCTGTTGGCAGGCAGTGTTACAACATGGACAGCCTGCTTTGCCTCATCTACCCCTGTCTACCTCATGATTCCAGTGCACAGGTAGCATACCCACCTTTGAAATCTTAACTCCAAGAAAATTGCTTCAGTGGACCTGGGGACTCCTTATATCTGTGGATCAGCAAGGCTCAGCTGTGTGATCGTTTTCTATATCTGCAGTGGTACCTTTTCTGACCCCTTCCCTCCTCTCTATTTTAAATCCTCTCCTTCTCCCCTAATGATTTTACTTCGTTTCATCCCCATCTCATTTCCTAGATTTTGGGTTTATAGTAAATCTGGAAATATTCAATCCATTTGCCTTAAATTTACACTTATAAGAGATACCAGATCTAAAAAATGTAATGAAGATTTCAGTTTAATGCTGAATTGTTTAATTTCCCCAACTGTCAAGAAATCTGATCTCCTTAAATCTTATCCAATTAGTTTGCTGGTTATGATTCACTTAAATTACTGAGAAAGTGTTAGTATGAGAAGGTCAGTTGTTTTTTCAGTAATATTAGTTTGTTCTTCTGTTTAGTTTTTATTTTTGTTAAATGAGCTGTAATAAATATTGTGTTGATTTATATTGCTGATAACACTATAGGGCAATGACATTCCCCCTATATTCCAATGTGGACAAGGCTCTAGGGGGCAAAATTTAGGCAGAACTGTTCTGCTAATGAACCCTTATCTGCAGATGATCCAGTTATATTAGAATAAGGTTATTTAAACAATTTGCATAACTTTCTTATATATTTACTAGAGTCTTGTTCTTAAGTTTAGATGCTAGCCTTCTCCTCTGCACACACACACACACCCCCAGCTTTGGATGATGGTGAACAGTGCAGAAACCAGGACCTCCCTTGAGATGAGAGTATTTCTTCTTTATAAGGCTAAAGGGAATCCTGTTAAACCTGGGTGTTTTAGAGAGGCTGGGGAAGTGAGTGAAGAGGTCACCCCCTTGCAAACCTCCTGGACTTAGGTCCAATTTCTTTTGAATAAGAATTATATATTTTTAAGTGATCCTTGGTCAACTTTGATCACTTAAT